AGAGAAACCCGGTCTCGAAAAACAAAAAAAAAAAAAAAAAAAAAAAAACACCCTTCAAAATAAACCCCTTTCACAGGGGTCACAGCCTCGGTGACAGAGAAGGCAAAGGGCAAAAGCAGACGTCCACAAAGGAGCCGGACGAGATGAGGGACACCAGGTGGTGGTGAGAGCAGAGGCGCCTTCAGCTGAGGTGGCTAATGCAGGCTACTGGTTCCCATCTAATGCACCTTCCAAAACAACAGCAGGACACTCTAAATTCACAGTACAGTCTGTACGTAACGCTAACATCAGCCCGGGGAAGACCACGGTTGCTATGGAGGTCAATCAACAGCAGATTCTGAATTAAAGTCTGCTAAAACAGTGCTCTTCCCACACCTGCCAACTCACAAACTGAAAATGACTCATCACCTCACTAGTGGCACTGCATGGCTAAAGAGAAGGTACAACTTCAAAAGGCTCTGACGTAAGTTATTGGATCCAGGAGGGCAAGGACCACAGGCTGGTACCCACCTCAGAACCCCTGCAAAGTGAGGGTCACAGTAGGAACTATTACTGTTGACTCCATATTGTGTGCATATTCACATGTGTAGGTATGTGTGAACACATGTTCAGGGGTGTATGCACATGAATGTGAAGGCCAGAGGCCACCCTCAGCTATCATACCTCAGGCACCACTCACCTTTTAAAGAAATATTACATTAACTTATTCATCTATTAATTTTGTGTGCACATATATGCCACCATATGTGTGCAGACTGAACTCAGGTCATCAGGCTTGGTTGCGAGCACCTTTATCAACTAAAACATCTCACTGCCCCGACCTTGTTTTTTGAGACAAGATCTCTCACTGAGACCTGTAGCTCACTGATTAGGCTAGGCAGGCTGGCTAGTGAGTCTCCTAATGCTGCCTCTCCGAAATTCGCAGGAAAGTGGATGGATCTGGAAGGTACAATACTACACAATGTAACTTAGACTCAGAAAGATAAGAATCAAATGCTCTCCCTCATACATACATGGACACTAGCCTATAATGTATACATGTACACATGGTTTAAGCATATGAAAATCTACAAATCTAGAAGGGAAACCAAGAGAGAATATATTATGTGATGAGGAAGTATGGGGACATGGGAGAGGAAAAGGATCTGGGAGGAAGTTACAAGGGGAGAACAGGACAGCAGGAGGGTGGGAGACAGTGGGAAGGAGCACCACAGACACACTTTGGTCAGAAATGTCATGATGGTATAGAACACACTATACACTAATCTAAAAACAAAAGCACAAGAAGGTTGCTGGGAGAGCAGTGTCATTTTCTCCAGTGACGCAGCTACTCATAAGTTGCCCATGCCGTAAGTAACAGTATGCAGCAACCCCACCCCACGCATGCAGCAACCACAGGAAAGCTCACTGGATCACAACAACAAAAGACAGCAGGGTAGAGGGGAGGCCTGCTGGAAGAAGGGTCACAGCAGGGTGCATGGAGGGATGAGAGAAGGCAATGGGGTGAAATGACCAAAATCATATTTATATGCATTATAAAATTCTCCAAGAAGAAAGTAATACTTTTTTTAAGGGGGTGGAGCTAGAAAGATGGCTCAGGTGTTAAAGCACTTGTAGCCCCTGTAGAGAACCTGGATTCAGCTCCCAACACCCACATGGCAGCTTACAATCTTCTATACCCCAGGTCCAGACATCAACACGGGCTTCTGACCTCCCGAGGTATCAGGCCCACACATGGTATACATATATACGTGGGGGCAAAACATTCATACACATAAAGTAAGAAATAGAGCTACAAACACCCTCCCTTGCAGCATCCTGAAGCTATCCTGATAGCAGGGACATAGATCTGTAACTGACTCATGCACGACACTCATTTTGCAGCAGACAGACAGACAAGCCTGTGTGAGCATCACCATCCTTCCTCCCATATGCATGTCCGCTCAGGTCAGACCTGGCCTCTCACACTGTCTACACACCTGTCATAATAGTCTCTGTGTCCCCGGTGGTCTCGGTCACTGCTGTACTGCTCATAAGGTCTCTTTCTGGACATGTTGTTAGGTCGGTAGCTTCCAGAACGGTGGGCATCCATATGTCTCCGGTCACCATAATGGTGATCCTTGTACCAGTGCTGCTCATATTGATGGTGCCGGTCACTGCCCCAGGGGGCATTGTTACCACCACCATAGTTGAACTTTCTTTCTCTCTGCCAGTCTCCTCGATCTGCAAGAAGAAATATGTTTCATAACTACAAGACATGGCAGAATTTACTGAAGGCTGACAGGTTAGAAGGAGATAATCATTTCCTTCCTTAGCTTTATCGCTAACACGAGTAATGAATGAGTCCTAACATTTTCTCTGCTGCCACCAACTTCTAAGGCCAAAGAAACTCTATCCCCTCTGTCCCTGCTAAGACCTTCCAACCACGGCTTACGTGTTTCATTCTTGCTTGCCCAGTGTGCAGCAGCCCCTGGAAATGAGACTCACTCAAGAACCCTGAGGGTCTGGACAGTGGTACTGCGGTTTCATAGTACCGCCCTCACTTACACAGCTAAAGGTGCTGCAGCCTTCGATACGAGCTGTGTCGAGCCTCTGAAGACCTCTTTAACTAAAGACTTTCCTTCCTTAGACCACAAGGAGGACTCGAAGGGCTGAGCCCAGGACAGGTAAGCCAGAGCACCACATTGAGATGGGCACCTCCTAGTCTGGGAACAGCAGCTAAAGCTTCAACAAGTTTTAGAGCACCAAGTCACCTACTAGGGGAAAAATAACCAAAGAACAAGAGACCAAAAATCAAAAGGAAAAAAGCACATAATAGGAAATAACACAAAGAAACGGTTTTAACACTGAGGAAGTTAATGAGCAATGATTTTTAAATGACTGTAACGAGCTAGAGAGATGGTTCAGTAGTTAAGAGCACTTGCTGCTCTTCCAGAGGGCCGGGTTCAATCCCCAATACCCACACAGAGGCTCACAACCATTTATAACTCCAATTCCAGGGGCTTTGAGAAAGAACCTCCTCTAACCTCTGTGGGCATCAGGCATGCACATGATGCACAGACATACATGTGAACAATACTCATACACATAAAATGAAAAAATCAATAAATTGCTGAGTACCAGCAATTAGTTAAATATTTTTTTTAGTTAGATCTTATTATATAGCTTTGGCTGGGCTAGAATTATGTGGAGACCAGGCTGGCCTTGAACTCACAGAGGTCTGCCTACCTCTCCTTCCCCAGTGCTGGGATTAAAGGTGTGCACTACTTTGATGTGAGAGGGAGGAAATAAAAATAAATTTTCTTTTTTAAAAAATCTTGAAATTTTTACAAAAAGTCTAAAGGGCACATTCACAATCTGTTGAACTAAACCTAGATCCTCTGGAAGAGCAGCCAGTGCTCTTAACCCCTGAGCCAGCTCTCAGGCCCCAGACATAATTTAATATATCAAAGTTTACAAGAGATGTGGGGGCACTTTTTGAGTTAATAGCTTGCTATGCAGCCTCAAACTCGAAATCTACTCTGTGTGTGTGTGTACACAAATGGAATTCTAGAACTAAAGTTTAGAAAGAAATATACTTCATCTTGATTACTGTAGAAAAACTGAATCTGTAAAATCTTACAGTATGCTTCTATACTTTCTATATGCTTTAAGTCTTTTTCAGTAATTTTTATTTTATTCTTCTTCTAAAAATAACGTTTGCTTATTTTAACTAGTGAAGCAATAAACAATGAATAATCATTAAATTCAAACAATCTCCCTTCTATTCCCACCAGTCTTAAGGCAACAGTTACTACTGACCACACTTAACTTTCATGTCCTTTTCTGTTCACACAAGTGCTTAAGTGTGTATAAGGGAGTCCTTGGTTCTTCAGGAAGTCAAACAGTTCCCGTAGAACCAGCAATCCCATCCCCATGCACCTAGCTAAAACAACTGCAAACAGGTATTCAAGCAAACATATGGATACAAATGTTTATATCAGTACTATTCTCAACAATAAAAAAGGAGAAACTAATGTCCATTAATGAATGAAAAAGCATGTACACCCACTGAGTGGAATACTACCCTTCCATTAAAAAGGAATTAAGTATTGATTGACACTATTAAGTATTGATTCACACTAGAATTAGGATGAACTTTGAAAATAGTTTGCTAAGCCAGTCACATGAGGTAGTATATATACTGTATATTCCATTTACCTGAAGTATTCAGAAATAAGTTAATTTACAGGGGTAAAATACAGAAAGCTAGAAAGAGAGGATGGGGACTAGGTATAGAATTTCTATTTGAGGTGACAGAGAAATTAGGAAGGAGACAGAACTATTATGCAGAATTTTGAATGTACAAATACCACTGGATGGTTCACCTACAAATGCTTACCTTTATGTTGTATGAATTTCACCTCAGTAAATTTAAAACTACAGACATGGATTTTTAACACAGTATGATTATTGTAAAAATACAACATGATTACTGTTTGGTTCTTATTATTTCCCTTACTGAATTTGTTTTTTAATTTTATTTGTTTTTCTTTTATATCTATGAATGTTTCTGCCAGGATGGATGTCTGTGCACCACATGTATGCAGTACCTGTAGAGGCCACAAGAGGGATTCTCTAGAACTGGAATTGCAGATGGCTGCAAGTCTCCAGGTGGGTGCGGGGAATTGAACCAGATCCTCTGGAATAGCAGCCAGTACTCCTGCCTTGACCTCCCAAGTACTGATATTACCAGCAAGTGCACAATGGTCGGTCTAGCCAATTCTTTGTAATGGTGGATGATACTGCGTACAGATGTCCTAACACTCGGTTTTCATTCTCCTAATTAGTGGACATTCCAGTTCCTCTAGCTTTTTGCCAATGTAATATTTAAACAGCACTCTCACATGACTATGTGTCCTCATTCTAGACATCCAGACAAGAGAACTGTGGTCAAAGGGACTATATATTTACTCATTTCAAATTATTTTCTAAAAATGACTAGACCAATTCCTATCCTTAATAACTAGCATGCATTTCTCCTTTTAATTATTGCTGAGTGGAGTAAGTGAAAACTTGGTTACCTCTCTCCTTAACATTTCCTGAATGGCAAGGGTGGTCATTGTGCCATATGAGCAATTTTACTTTTCTGTATGAATTCCCTAATCCTTAATCTATATCTCTTTTAAAAAAAAATCCAACATATAGCTGTATTGAGGCTTTGAAGAAATCTTTTTCTTTTCTTTTTTCTTTTTTGGATTTGTTGTTGTTGTTTTGGTTTTTCGAGACAGGGTTTCTGTGTGTTCTGTGTGTTGGCTGTCCTGGAACTTGTTCTGTAGACCAGGCTAGCCTTGAACTCACAGAGATTCACCTGCCTCTGCCACCACCACACAGCTTGAGGAAATCTTATACATACTTCAGGCTGACCTTGAACTCAGGACTCTCCTGCTTCAGCCCCTCTACTTCTGAGATTACAGACATCACCACACTCACCTTTAGTTTTATTTCTACAATTTTCTTTCTTTCTTTCTTTCTTTCTTTCTTTCTTTCTTTCTTTCTTTCTTTCTTTCTTTCTTTCTTTCTTTCTTTCTTTCTTTTTTTTCTGAGACAGGGTCTCTCTATTATATATTTTTGGCTGTCCTGGAACACACTTTGTAGACCAGGCTGGCCTTGAATTATCAGAGATCTACCTGCCTCTATCTCCCAAGTGCTGGGATTAAAGGTGTGTGCCATCTTGCTTGGCCATTTCTCCTTTTCTAAACAAATTTCCAAAATCTAATTCAATTTACTTTCCTTTTTCTTTTTTAAGTTTTGTTTCAAAAATTAAATTTCAAGTTTTTTTAAATTAACAAATAAAAATTACATACACTTATTTTGTGTATATCTTAAAATACACGTTAACTATACAATGGCTGAGTTAACGAATGTTTTTTGTGTTTGTGGAAAGAACATTTAAAACCTCCCACTGGTTTTTGTTACTGGATGAATTACATCATTTTACAGTATGCTAAGTGACATCTTGTTATTAAGTACAGCTCCCCTCTTGAGCACCTCTCCTAACTCTGGTACCCTTCAACCAGCACTCCTCCGCCTCTTATTCCCAGCTCCCCAGTCAAACACTGTTCTCTCTGATCCCCCAAGTTCAACTCTGTTAGATTCCACACACAGAGAAACCATGTAGCATTTGTCTTTCTGCACCAGCTTACAGCTCTAAACATGGTATTCTCTGGGCTCACCCACACTGTCCCAAGTTGCAGGTTCATTTCTAATGGGTAACTAATATTCCTTTGTGTACATGTATCACATTTTCTGTTTTCTCTGGCTCTTGATGGACACTTAGGTGGATTCCATGTGCTGGCTCTTGTAAATAGGAATTTGGCATTAATAAACCTGCCAAGTTCCCATACCTCTTCAACGTGAGATGCACACACTCAACTTGCAGGTCATATGAGAGTTCTATGTTAATGCTTTTAGGAACCCCTACTTGTGTTTTCTATAATGGCTGTGTTAATCTAACAACAGTGGTAAAGGCTGCCTTTTTCTCCACATCCTTGCCGACACTGTGTTGAGTTAATAACAGCTATTATCAGGTGTAAAGTGGTGTCTCACTGTGGCCCATAATGCTGAGTGCTTTTCTTTATACTTGTTGGCCAATTATATACTTTATTAAAACAAACAAGACTAACAGTCTCGGAAATAAAGGGCTTATTGAGGTACACATGCCTATCTATAGGTCAAAAGACAAGCCACCAGTGAAAGTCCCTGAGCCACCAGCAGCATGACTCTATAGCAGCTGGAAAAATGTCCACTGGACCTAAGGTTAGGGTCTATTCTAGTGAAATTTGGGGATGTTCAATCATTAATGTTTTTAAACAAACCTACATTATTTACTAAAAAAGAGTCAGGTCGACACAGATGGCAGCATCCTGGATACATTCGTCCATAAATAAAGTTTCTGCTACATCCTGTCTGGTTGGTTCCAAAAGCAAAATGCAATGTGGCCCTATGGGTAATCTACAGCACTCAGCAAAGAATGAGTGTACTCCTCTCTGTTGATTTAGCTTGAAGCTGTGAGTTGCAATCAATCATCTTCCTCTACTGCAGTACCTCCCCATCTGGAGTTAAGATCATCTTCCTCTATTGAAGCCCCTCCCCATCTGACCTACAACTGAATTTAGGATGCCTCAGAGCTCATCATCGTCTTCTGAGAAATGTCTGTTTAGGCCTTTCCCCCATTTCTTAACCAGTCTCTTCTCTTCTTACCTGCTAATAACCCTTTATCAGATGTACAGTTTCTGACATCCTCTCATTAACACAGGCTGCTTCTCCTCTGCTGACAGTCCACTGCTTGTTTTTTCTATTTGGTTATCTTTTGTCACCAACTCAATATTAGCAGTTTTAAATGTCCTCCCTACATGCCTAGGCAAGCCCGTATGACATTTTTTAAAATTAATTAGTGATCATTCTTACACACAGGATGTGAGTTGTTCTCTAAGTCTGCCCATTACCTTTCATGGTACCTGTGATCGCCTTAACTTAGAGCTGGTCCTTAATCTTCTAGATCTTATTTCACATTTTATAAAAATCAAGTACAGACAACAAGGTCTCAGGGAAAGTACACAAGTCCTTGGACAATGAAATGACTAGGGGTTTTGACACCTCTTTAAAAGCTATCTAGAGGCCTACCTGCATTACTAAAGTGTCTCTTGTTGGGATGACTGTAGTTATCTCTTGGATGTCCATGCATCTGTGGACCATGGGAGGCAGGCAAATGAGGCTTCTGAGGATGAAGGTTGTGTGAGGTATGGGACTGAGATATCAGAGAATCCCGGCTTGAGCCCGAGGCCTCTGGTCGAAATGGTTTCTTACCACCAAGCGTATCATCTTTCTTCTTTTGTTCCTGGCAAAGTAAAAGGAAATCGAAGAGCTTAGGACCCTAGGCTTAACTCCTGAGAGCAGAATAAAGTCATCTCCCTAAACAGTTCCATCTTGTTCCTCTATACTTCTGAGCTGCCATTAATACCTTCTTACCAAAACCGCTTGTGAACTCCACGAGACCTACAGCTCCAGCAGCCTAACGGGGTGGGCTGTCTGTGGACTCTGACCTACTAGATTACTGCAGAAAACCAGCCTCCACTAAGCCCCCGTGAGAACACACTTGCCATAGCCAGGTGTCACTGGCCATAGCCTATCCCCATACAAGGGGCCAAGCACTCAGCAGACTCCGAGGACTATCTTGGCTACACAAAAGCATGACTGCTCCGTTTCCGAGGCTAGCTAGAGTAAGAACTACCTGCTGTCACACAGGAGGAGTTACTACAGCAAAGTCCTCACGCTGGACATCAGACCCTTAGCTCTACCACTCCTCCATCCAAGTAAGAGTCTCAAAATATAATTTTACAAGTGTAAAGTGACTTAAAATCTAAGTAGGAGGGAAATGACTATAAATAATTTGGTCCATATCTAAGTCTTTTGTGTATAAAGAACAGAAAACAAATATTACTTGATTCTGTCCTTTTTTCATTTAGCACATTATGAAAATATCTTCCCCTGCATGATATTTAATACTACCATATTTCATTTAATGCTTGATTATTACTCTTCAGGAGAATACATGACCATAATCTCCCCATTATTTTTGGACTGCAGTCATTCCCATCATAAGAATGCTTTAACCTTTGATTAGTCCCTTAAACTAAACTCTTAGATGTAGAAGCATATGTTCTACTCTTCTGACAAATTTTGAAGAACCATTGTGCTGGTTTGTTTTATGTTAGCTTGACTCAAGCTAAAGTTATGAGAGGAGGAGCCTCAATAGAGAAAAGCCTCCATAAGATAGGGCTGTAGGCAAGCCTGTAAGACATTTTCTTAGTTAGTGATCAATGTAGGGAAGCCCAGTCCATGGTAAGTGGTTCTGTCGTGAGCTGGTAGTCCTGGGTTCTATAAGAAAGCAGGTTGAGCAAGCCAGGGAGAGCAAGCCAATAAGCAGCACTCTTCCATGGCCTCTGTATCAGTTCCTGCCTCCAGGTTCCTGCCCTGTTCAGTTCCTGTCCTGGCTTCCTTCACTGATGTACAATGATGATGAAGCATAAGCCAAATAAACCCTTTCCTCCCCAAGTTTGTTTTGTTCATGGTGTTCCATCACAGCACTGGTAACCCTAAGCAAGACAACTATCCTATAGAGAGACTAAGATAACTCACTCCCCATAGTTGGAGACTGATACATTTGCCATTCAACCTCATGAGCTTCTGTGGGGTCCTCTACCACTGTGTGCCCAACTTAGATCCTCAATCCAGTTTTCCCTCCTATCTCAGGGCCTTTCCCGACTAGTTTATTCTTCTCTGGAATCTTTCCTAACTATTCTTTCACGGATTTTTATAATGATTAGAAGCCAGTGAGATGGCTCAGTGTTAAAGGCATGCATCACTAAGCGTGACTGCCCGAGTTCAATCCCTGGGACACAAGGGAGGATAGGAAAGCAGAGACCCCTGCAGCCTGTCTTTGGACATCACGAGGTAAGTGCTGCCTCTTGCACTCCCGTGTTCACTCTCTTGCTCTCTCTCACACAAGCACAAAATAAATAAATATAGAAGTGTAAAATTTTATTATGTTTAGAATTTCACTAATACACAATTACTGTATTATTCCTATTACCATTACATTAAATTCTTCAGTGTAAAATTAAATTATGAACTATTTGAGAGTATAATTCCCAGGTCAATAATGCATTAAGTTCACATTACAAATTCTTCTAAGTGCCCATGCTGGTCCTGGTACGACTACGGGCACTAAAGAAATGGCAATAGATGAGAAACACAGTCTCTGTGTTCATGAGCCTGAGACATTAGTGAAAATTGGAACAATTTTCGCAATTGCTCCTCAGTGGCTGATTTGGATATGGACCATGTGGCTAAGCAGCAGATCTATAAAAGTCTGTGTGAGAACTAATTCTTCCACAGAAGCCAAGTCACCTTTACACCCATCTCCCTACTCATAAGAAAGGGTAACAACGCCTGGACACTGCAAATATCTACTCCTTTAAGTAAGCAATTGGGATTCTTCCATGTAAGAAACAGGATGGATGCCAAGCATATGCCCATATAAGAATAGGAATAGCTTTTCTGCCCATCATCCTGGGACTTATGACTAGCCACATTACAAGATACAAAAATGTAAGAAGAAAAGGTTTGGAAAAAAGTGATGCAGGTCATGAGATCACAAGGTAACAAATTCTTTCAGGACTTTAAAACACTATCTGGCTCTAATGTATTGGCTATTTTACCTAATAAACAACAGTCATGCTGTCTGGCTACTCATGGAAAATGTTAGGAACTATATATGGCTAGTACAAAGAAAAGTCACACCATATGAAATTATGTTTGGATCACAGGTGACAAACTCTGTGGCCTGTGGTGGTTTCTGTCACCCTGTTTGGGCTGTACTGAAACCATGTAAGACACAGGCAAAGTGCCAGTGGCCTATCTACCATCAACAACCCCACAGATTTATCACTACCGGCCCAGGGAAAAACAAAAGCTAAGGGAATTTCATGTGCAATTATTTTTATACATTGGTATAAATTAGGACTAGATTTGTATTTTACCTCCTCTTCTTGAGATCTTTTCTTATGAGCCATCTTATATAATTTATGTAGTTTTCGTGCATCAAATTCTGTAAACTTGGAAACAAAAATCCATAGGTTCCTAAAAGAAAAATTGTACTAGTAAATTATCCATTTTAAAATGTGATTTTGTTGTTGTTTTGTCAAGACAGGGTTCTCTGTGTAGCCCTGGCTGTCTTGGAACTCACTCTGTAGACCAGGCTGGCCTTCCTCTGCCTCCTGAGTGCTGGGATTAAAGGTCTGCACCACCATCCTGGCTAAAAAGTGATTTTATTTTATGGATGGCAAGCTACTGAATTTTACTATGAAATGTTCTCCAAGTCCTTGCACTAAGCCAGGTGTTCAAGCTCTTGCTATAATCCCAGCACACAGGGGCGGGGGATTCAGGTCATCCTCAGATCCTCAGCTACACAGTGAGTTTGAGACCAGCCTGGGTAAAGGACACTCTATGTCAAATAAATAAGAAAAAACAGAAAGTCTTTCCATCAGTAATATATCATTACATGCTTCTGTCTTAGGATGAGGGCTGTCAACAGTTCTGGGAACCCCTAACTTCTACAGTGGCATCCACACTCTATTCCAGAAGCTTTCCTTTGCCTTCCCCACACTCAGGACTCTGCCCATACACTCCATCTTTCCCACCATCTCCCACACTGGGATCCACAATCAACTGGCAACCTGTGTCACTGCCATGCTTCTTCCCAACTGTCACCACTGAGGCCTGTCACCTCCTCCTTCAAACTCTCAGGAACTCCCTGTCTGGGCATGGCAATGCTGTATACCATAGGAACGGTACAAGATGGGTGTTTACACAGAGGCCCTGAAGTAGCAGACTCGGAAACTAGTAAAGGTACTGTGTCAGTAGAGAGCCACTTACCTTCCTGAGGCCTCTTATAAAGAACCGTCTTCTGAGACATGGCAACTGAGCCCTAAGCACACCCAGTGCCCTAGCTGTCCACTCTCAAGCCTCTGCTGAAGCCCTGACTATGCTCATTTAAGTGTTTCCACTTAAATGAGTGTACTCACAGCAGTTAGCCTCCCTGGCCACCCTTCTGCAGGCATTTTCTTTCCTATCTTTTAATTTTTATTTATTGTGTTATGTTGACGGGTGTTTAGTCTGAGTACATCTCTGTGTACTATGTGCATGCCTGGTGTCTGTGGAGGCTAGAAGAGGATGTGGAGTTATTGATAGCTGTGAACCACTATATGGATGCAGGGAATTGAACTTGGGTCCTCGGGAAGAAGAGCAGGTACTCTTACTGATGAACTATCTCTCCATCCCTGTAGGCATTTTCTTCACACAACTTCTAAAATTGCTTCCATACCTACTTTTAGATGGACAGTTTCTATGGAAGTCATAACGTACTATTTTTTAACTTTTAAAAACCAAGGACTTTTTAATGAACTACTGCTGGTGTTGGGATATTTAAACACCAACAGATCCAAGTGCACAGTAGGAAGCCTAAACCTGTTGCTATCCTCTGATCTGGTAAAAAGAAAGCCATATATGCTCAGTAAAGAGAAAAAATGCAAACTGTTAAGAGGAAAGAAATGACTTTTCAAAAACAATGTTTTGTACTCAGGGATGTGTGGCATGCTATCATTAGCATCATGACTGAGGTTTCTGAAAACCTACTTTTCACTCAAAAACCAATCTACTAAAACAGACTACCAAGATGCATGAACCATGAAGTACATGGACTCAAAGTAAATATAGTTTATGGAAATAAACTTAACATTAGCATTTCAAAATTCCCTCTGGTACTGGGAACTGAAGTCAGGGCTTTGTACATGCTGGGCACATATTCAACTACAAAGCTACATCCCCAAACCCCCATCCACAACTCTTTTGTTTTTTTTGTTTTTTGAGGCAGGGTTTCTCTGTGTAACATTCCTGGCTGACATGGAACTCACATTGTAGATCAGGCTGGCCTGGAACTCACTGAGATTCACCTGCCTCTGCCTCCTGAGCACTGGGATTAAAGGCGTGCACCACCACCACCCAGCTCCCTTTTTCCTTTTTATTTTAAGACAGTCTCATTAGGTTGGCCAGTCTAGCCCTGAACTCAATCTATAGTCCACAAAGGTCTTTGATCCTCCTGCCTCAACATCCTGAGTAGCTCAATTAGAGAACTGTGCCACCATCTTGACTATTGTTACGGTTGCTTTAGAGAGTTGTCATTTCTTCAAAATATCTAAAGGGAATACAGATGGAGTGTCCCTATTTTGAAAATCCCGAGACGGATGTCTCAAGAGATAAGTTATACTCTTACCATCATATGATGGGTCACGGTCAAAATGCAGAGGCAATAAATGCATCGTACAGGGATACCTATAGGCTATATATATTAAGTATCCATGAAGTAAAAGTGAATTTTGTATAATATTTGATTACTACTCCCAAGACTTTTCATTACTTATGTCCACGAATATTTCAAAGTCTAAAACACTTCTGATTCTAAGCATGTTTGATAAAGGGATACTTAACCTGTTTATAAATTAATACATATATATAAGCCATAATGTCTTATATTAATCTAAATCACTACAAAGTTCTTTAACTAAAGGAGAGGAAAATGGAGAACCCAAGTTCCTGTGCTTTTGACCTTTGTTCCACTTCATGTGTTGGTACCTGCACTGGCTAGTTTTTATGTCAGCTTGGGAAAGAGAACATCAGTTGAGAAAAGGTGCTCATGAGATCGGCCTGTGGGCAAGACTGTCACACATTTTTTAAAATCATTTATTTATTTATGTGCACTGGTATTTTGCCTGTATGTATATCTGTGTGAGGGTGCTGGGTCCCGAGGAACTGGAGTTACAGATAGTTGTAATTGACGTGTGGGTGCTGGGAATTGAACCCGGGTCCTCTGGAAGAGCAGTCAGTGCTCTTAACCGCTGAGCCATCTCTCCAGCCCCCATATGTTTTCTTGATAGATAACTGATAGATGAGACGGCCCAGCCCACTATAGGAAGTGCCACCCCTGGGCCAGTGGTCCTGGGTTCTAGAAGAAAGTAGGCTGAGCAAGCATGAGGAGCAAGCCAGTAAGCAGCACTCCTCATGGTCTCTGCTTCTGCTCAGGTCTCCAGGTTCCTGCCCTGCTTAGTTCTTGCCTTGACTTCCCCCAGCAATGGAATGTGACCTGAGTGTCACAAGCTGAAATAAAGTCCTCCTCAAGTTGCTTGTGGTCATGGTTTTGTAACACAGTAATATAAGCAGTAACTAAGACAGTATGGAACCAACCAATTTCTTATAATAGATATAGTAGATATAATAATATTTAGTAGATATAATATGTAAATACTAACCTGAGATGAGTAAAGTATTACTCTAGTTTCTATGTCTTATGGGTTTAAAGCAAATATTCTGAGAATAAGCCAGAAATCATTATTATTATTATTATTATTATTATTATTATTATTATTATTATCTCCTTCTTATAAATTATATTAATGGCATAATCTTGCCACATCAGAAGGCTGGCCTTAACAAATTGGCTTATTTTATGAAAAAGAAGTCGAAGCCTACAGGTATGTTTGTCAACAATAAACTAAGTGACTATGCTCTCTATTTTAAAAAACACAGGACACCCACACACTGTCAAATGAAACTGGGGAGATTCAAGGCCAGAATGGGTTACCTCCTCCACAATTTGATGTGCTCCTGGTCTGAATAAGCTTTAAGGCACTCAGCTATGCGGTCTCCAATTTTAAGCAGGCAGTTCCTGGTGTGCTCCAGCTGTTCTTGCACATTGAGTCCCTTGTCAGGTTTGTCCAGCTGTTTCAGTGCCTTTTTCACAGGCCTCATCCTCTCTTTACACTGCAACAGTCCAACACAGTAACATGAGCCATTGCAGAAAGAGTTCAGTTGTCACACCCACAGTCAAGAGTCAAGAAAACACACCCCCCTCGTGCTACGTGTCTCTATAGAGTGGGCAACACCAGTGGAATGGGACAAGTGCAGATACGTAGAAATTCTGAGGTACAAGTGCCGTCACCATATTTGGGATTATGTGAGGACCTTTGATACCTGACTTAGCCTCTCTGCATGTTCTGTTTCCTCATCTGCAAGAGGGCTGTGGCCACTAAGAAGATCAAATGTAAAACAGTATTATAGGCATAACCTGAAAACCATGATCACCAAGTTTTTTAATAATGAAAAAACAAAAACACTATCCTCTGCTAATTTCCTCAGCTAGAAACTCATGGGCATTTTTCAGTGTTTAACTTCAATTTTTAAAATGAAATAAAAAAGACACTACGAATTGGAAAATACTTACAAATGACTGTGAAAATTAAAAAAATGCATAAATGATTTCTACAGAAAAGATAAATTACTATGTAGCTCCAGCTCATCTGGAACCTGCTTCATAGCCTTAAACTGGCCTTGAGTTTATAATCTTCCTGCCTGTTTCCACAGTGGTGGGACTACAAACATGTGCCACCATACTTAGCCACATTTGTGGCTAATATGAGGAAGACCCTTGGTTCAAAACCCAATAATATAAAACAAGGGAAACAGTTCCACAGAAGCAGCAGGTATTACTTTGTTTATAAGCAACAGGCTAAAGGAAAAACAGAGAAATGATGAATTTATTCATTTATTCAATTCACTCATTTATTACTATCTTTCTAGTACCTAAGTGAACTTCATATAAAACATAATTCTCACAGAAAATAAAAGAACTTAAGAAAACTGACTTAACTACAAAGAAAAAATAATATATGCAAGTATGTTTTAGAGTATACAGAGAAAGCTCAAAGACCTCACAGAACTGGGTCAGTATTCTCTCATTTCAAAGAAGACAGCTTTTTCTTTAGCCTGAAAGAATTGAAGTGAGTCATGACTTGTGGGAGTTTGGAAAGAGAATAGAGAGTTGTGGAACTCAGAAAGGACAGCAGCACCTTCCCATCCTTCCATGAGGAAACAACTGTATTTCCGGGTCCAGCTCTTAGCTCCCCAGCATGGCAGCAGGTATGCTCCAGAACCTCACCACTTCAAACGTTAGCCAAGGCCTTCTCCTGGTCAGCCGGCATGCTTCGACCCATCACTCTAGCCGCAGAGTGCTACTTCCTCAAATGCACCACCCATGCTCCTGCCACCTTGGCATATTCGTCCCCCTCTTCTCCCACTACCTTTGACACTTCCTTCAGAACCCAAAGCAAACATCACTCCTTCGGCCTTCCAGACTAGGTCAGATCCCTTCTTATCAGACCTCCACCGTATCCACTGTTTCTCCTCCATACCCTATCATAAGGGCACCAACATGATCCAGGTAGTTATCTGTCTGCCCTATTATTATTCAGCTTAGTCACTGATACTATTTTCTCTATAAACAATAGACTAAAGAAGAACAGGGAAATTCTTCTTTGAGAGGGGGGTCTCTAAATGTTTTGTCTCCCATCCACCACATTTCTACTTTCCAAATGCCTCTGAGAACCTGTCTAAACTCTGCAGGTTCCTGTACAGGTAAGGTTCATATAAATTCATGAAGGCCCACATATACTCATAAAAACAGGAATACAAGACATCCTACTAATCTGGTTCAAAATACAGTATGCAAAAATAATAAGCAATATACTTCTAAAACAAGACACCAATTAATGTTTATACTAACTAAAGCTCTGTGGATGTGCCTGTGAAGGGCAGCCCAAACATCAGCATCCTCTATTTCAAGACTTACAATGCTGAAGGTTTCCTGGTCCAGATCATCATCTTCATCCTCCCCAATGGGAACAGGTTCACTTCCCGCTGTAATGTGGACAGGACCCTGAGCTCGCTTTGATTTACTTGAAGACTTGGCATCACCACCTTTAACCTTTCAAAAGAGTTACAAAAAGTCCTTGTCATTTCTACAATCTTAAAATCTCAGTAGATTTCTTTTTGTTTGGCTTTGTTTTATTTGGCGGTGGTGGAGGTGGTAGTGGTGGTGGTGTTTCTATGAATATATGTGTGGGCGTGCATGAGTTTATGTGTACCACACCTGTGCATGAATCTGCAGAGGCCATGAGAGGTTGCCAGATCCCCAGGAACTGGAGTTACAAGACATTGTAAACTACTGTGTGGGTGCTGAGAACTGAACCTGGGTCATCTGCAAGAGCAGCAAGCTCTTAACAGTTAAGGATCTCTCCCGCGCTACAATCCACACTTCTTACCTATGGTGCATTGCTAGAGCAAGCAAATATACACAAACCTACAAGACTAATAGCTGAATTATAATTCTTCCTATTTCTGTCTCTAAAGGTACTAAACTGCAGCTTCAAGTTTATCAATAGAATTTACAAAAACGTCATGAAGGGGCTAAGGATCTACCTAGAACTCCCCAGGGCATAATGCAGCAACCTCTCCTAACAGCTACCCTTTGATCTGGGAATCTGTACCAACTGCATAACTGTCAATGCTGCAGGTCAAGAGGAACAGGCACGGAGACCAAAATTCTACAATACAGAGAAAACACAAGCTTTTTAAAGAGCACAAAAAGTAAAACCCTTGCCCTTACATAAGTTCCTGGCTTGGTTCCCAGCACCTACGTGGAAGCTCACAAACGTCTGTAATTCCAGCTCCAGGGGTGTGACATCTCCACAGGCTCCTGCCTGCTTCCCATTCACACATACACACTCAGACACACATAAACATCAAATAAAAGTACATATTCTTAAACTAAAAATTAGTGAGTTCAACCCCAGCCTGGTCTACAGAGTGAGTTCCAGGACAGTCAAGGCTACACAGAGAAACCCTGTCTTGAAAAACTAACTAAATAACTAACTAAATAAATCAAATAAAAATTTAAAAAGCACAGGTAGCATGGTGTCACATCAACTACATAGTAGCAGTTATGAGGAGAGAAACAGGGAGAGTGATCCGATCAGGAAGGTATCTTCCTGCAGTATTCATAATGTGTTCATGAGATACAAAATGCATTAAGCTGGAGGGGGAAAAGCCACTTAAACTAAACATGAAACAATGTGAATCTGCCAAATGGTGGCATATGCCTTTAATCTTGACAGAGAAATCAGAGGCAGAATGATTTCTCTTGAGTTCTAGGCCAACGAGGGTTATGTAGTGAAACCCTTTCTCAAAAAGAAAACAAACAAGAAAATAAAACAAAAGAAATAAACCAAAAACCCAAAATTAAACATCATTCTGATCCAAATGCAAAAGAATTTATCACAATACAGTTTCTGTTTTATTCCAAAGACATAATTTTTTTTATTTATGTGGATGTACCTTGCTGAATTCATGTGTACCACAGGTGTGCAATGTCCACAGAGGCCAAAAGAGGACAAGAGATCCCCAAGACCTAGAGTTACAGATGGGTGTGAGGACTGGTAACTGGCCCAGGTCTTAACCACTCAACCATCACCAACACCCTCAGTAGAGTTTCTAACATTAAAAGCTGGAAAATAATTTTAGTATAAAACTTAAATGGTTTCCACTATACTATAGCCAAATACAATCTGCCTTATCTATTAAAAATGACCTTAACACCTGTTCTTTGGTGGTAAAGTAGTTTACAATATATTGTTGTATGGAGAGAAGAGGTTATCCAATGGTCTGAACTGACCAGTATTTTATATATTTTGTTGTTGTTGTTGTTGTTGTTGTTGTTGTTGTTGTTGTTAGTGGTGGTGGTTTGTTTTTTCAAGACAGGGCTGTCTTGGAAAGAGAAGCCCTACCTGGCTGTCCCGGAACTCAATTTGTAGACCAGGCTGGCCTTGAACTCAGAGATGTGCCTGCCTCTGCCTCCCAAGTACTGGGATTAAAAGTGTGGGCCACCACTGCCCAGCCAGTATTTTTATATTTATACTCATATTCCATGGGGAAATTTACAAAAGTCCCAAGAAGTTAAGATGTCAAGGGCTGTAGAGGTGACCCATGAGTTATGAACACTGGCTGCTCCTTTTAAGGACCTTAGTTCCAGTCCCAGAACCCTCACAGCAGCTCACAACCACCTGTAATTCCAGTGCCTGGGGATCCAATGCCTTCTTCTGGCTTCTTTAGGCACCAGGCACACATGTGGTACACAGACATACATGCAAACAAAACATCCATACACATAAAATTTAAAAATTTTTAAAAAAAAGTCAAGACATCAATAGATGGCAGACTTCTAGCTGTGACTTGCTTGGAGCAATGGGTAAGGACTGACTACAACCATCTCTTCACATCTCACAAAGCCTGTTACTAAACTGTATTAAGTCTATGGTTTGTAATGAACCTCACAAAACTCCCAACCTGAAGGCTTCCTAGTCAAGTTTACTCTAGTGGCTGTTGATGACATGTGGCATTTGGTTTGACTCTCAACTCTTCAAATAACCTCGACTTTGTGTAGATTGTATTCTTCTGACATTATAATCTGAGAACCTATCCCTCATAATCCTCTCACTTGTCGTGTCTCATTCCAAATACTCCTCCCAAATATGTGAAGACAGATCAAACCAAGGCCCTCTACGTTAGAAAGCTCAAGACTGCACAGCTCCCCTTTCCCATAAGGAGGGTGCAGGGATTGCTTATATAGCCCCAACCTTCCTTCTTGGATATACTCAAAGACAGTCATCCCAGGGCTTGTACCTCATGTTATCTAAAACCTAAACACAACTCCCCAGACAAGTATGTTGGGTACCTTCTCTTTCTTGTCCTTGGACTTCTTCCTCTCTTTGTCTCCTTCCCTGTCCTTCCGAGAACTCACTGGTTTTTCTTTGTTCTCCTTGTTCTCTTTCTTCTTCTGCTTTTTTTTCGTTGGACTTTTTTCTAAGCCATCATCCTAGGAAACAGAAAACCATGAACTTTTTCACTCTTCTGCTTCTTCATTTGTTTCTAAAGGGAGCAGCCGTGGCCCAGGGGCTCATCACTGTATCCAATCAGAGCCTACCAGCACTCACTTGCAGAACTCTGAGTCTGTTAAATTCATCCAGGCAGACACCATTACATCCTCTGATCTAATTCTCAAAGCTACTCTTTAAGGCATTGACCGGATGGAGTTTGGTCCAATAGAAAAGCATTTGCCTATTGTGCATGAGGCCCAGAATTAGATCCTCAGAACTACCCCTACCCTAAAACAATAGTATTATTGCCCCCACTTCACAAACAAAAAATTGAGGACCAAAGAAACACTACACCTGTCCATGGTCAGCTAGTAACTGATGAGGCTGTTAGTATGTGAATTTGAGAACAAGCATTCACAGCTACGTTAGTCCCTTATACCCCTGGGGGCTCTTCTGGAGCCATCATCAAAGAATTACATTCAGAACAATAGAATAAAATCTCACAGAGTTGTCACTCACTGAAAAACACTGTACTTCTACTTTCTTCAGACTAGATTACAAATTGGCAAGCCAATGGCCAAGCCAACCTCGAGAGAACTTCCAATTAACTGAATGAACTACATTATGTAAGTCTTAAGTCCCCTGGTTAACCAGTCTCTACCAATCTCTTTCATTCTCTAAAATGAAAGTAATTACTAATTGCCATTTATCGTGGTTTGTATGGTCTACTTCAGTTATGCAGGAATTTGTAGTCGCTCACTTAGGACGAGCCACTATGTGGTGATTTGAGTAAGAATGGCCAGCAAAGGCTACCGTGTTTGAATGGAACCTCAGATAAGAACTGAAGGATTCGGAGGTGTGGCCTGTTGGAGGAAGTGAGCCACTGGGGGTGGCTCTGAAGTTTCAAAAGTCCATGCCAGGCCCAGGCTCAGTGTCTCTCTCTCTCTCTCTTCTCTCTTCTCTCCCTCCCCTCCCCTCCTCTCTCTCTCTCTCCCTCTCAGCTTATGGAACAGGATGTAGCTCACAGCCACTTCTCCAGAACCACGCCTACTACCTGCCGCCATGCCGTAATGATAATGGACTGAACCTCTGAAACTGTAAGCCAACCCCAAATTAAATGTTTTCTTTTATAAGTTGCCTTAGTCGTGGTGTCTCTTCACAGCAACAGAATGGTGATATATTCTTCTGACAGATTAGGTGAAGAGAAACATACTCTATGGTATTTTATCTATTCTCTATGTAAACAAATACATCACATGACTTCATACAGTCCCATACCTTCACTTCCCCCTCTTCAGACTGGTTGTCTGAGTGTCTTGGGGATGACAGTTCAAGCCCATGCTCATCCTTCAGCCTGGGGGCTTTATTTTCCTTCTTTACTCGAGGCTTCCGTTTCTTTAGTTTGGTCTAGAAAATAAAAATATGATAAAACTACATATCACCCCCAACCCAACAGCATGACCAAGAAATATTCTGGCCAGCTGATTCATAATCCAAACAAGATAATTTAGTAACTCAAAGGTGCAGGGAATTCTACCTGAAAGAAAATAAAACTGAATAAAACCACCTACTAGCCTCTACCTAGCCTATACTGCTTTAAATGTCTGTATTCCTTGAAAATATTGATTTCATTTTTGGAATTCACCCTACAGGTAACACCCCCAGAAAAGGTTAAGACATTCTATGTACAAAAATATAATTAACATTGAAGGTGACAAAATTAACTCTTGAAAATTAGGTATCTAAAACTAAGAAAAAGGTTAAAATATTGTTTATCTATTCAATCAAATAAACAATATAAGCATGATCTTACTTGCCAATCTAGAACTTAATACATCATAATTATATTCTCACCATAATATCTACAGAGTAGTACTATGTACCTAAAATACCACTGTGTAGGACAAATGGAAGTATGGTGATTTTATTCATAAGTTCCATTTATTGTATACATACATGTATACACAACACAGCTAAGGAGCATGTAAGCAACATGCCTACACAAAGTACAAACATACTTAGATTCTGTCTTCCCTGACTCGTTATCATGGGGAATTAAAGAAGAGAATTCATTAGCAACTTGGTATTTTTCATGAGCCAACTATAATCAAAACAGAAATCCATTTGTGAAATTAAGTGTGGAATCCAACTGTCTACTCCTGGAATCCATTATCACAGCAGCCCAGCCAGATGCCAAAATATAGGAACTGTGTCCCCAGCTGAGGACAAGAACAGGAAAGAACAAGGGCCATCCAAAGAGATGTAGAACATTCTGCTGGAATACCTGAGCGGGACTGTAAGACAGGTGCCAAGATACTGAGTTCAATTATCAAATGAGCATTTGTTCTTAGCAACCTCAGAGACGCGTCTGCCCACGAGAGGGCAGGATGCTGTGCAGTACCCAGAAAGGACATCTCTTCCCCCTCAGCTCTGCAGAGTCCCAGGCTCCCCTGGGGGAACGCCAGCTGGCAGTACCCTCACTCACCTCCTCCCCACTGGTCACAGTGCCCTTCTTCTCCAGACCCTTCCTGAGCAGCTTCAGCAAGTAGTCCACCCGGGTCTGCAGCTGCTTCCCCTGAGGCTTTTTATCTGTCTCCACTGGTAGAATCTTCAACAGGAAAGGAAGAGAAGCACCCGCCACCACCCACAGCCTGGTTAGTGAATCCAGATAAACAGAGCCAACACAGCACTCAGCACAGTCCTTTCCCTCCCAACCACCCGAAACACAGATTAAAGCCTCAGATCCTATTCTCATGTCCATGGCTCCCAGTCACTGAAAATCCCTCGTGAGCCACTCTGCTTTACAAAATGGGATGGAGAAATCCAGCTCTCCCACTGGCTCCTACCTGTGCTGTTAACAGGGTAGAACAACTCAGGTAGGAGGGGCTTGTGGCTTCATCTGCTAGAGCATCCCAGCCGTCGTGGATTTCCTCCTTCCAGGAGCAGGGACTCCCTGGAGCTAGGTTAAAGCTTCGTTTTAGATTGAAAATGCTTCTTAGAGCATTGCCGGAGCACTGAGCTATGCCAGGACATGATCTGTTGTCTACCACAGCTGGACCTCTCCGGCCAGACTGGATTTGCTCTCAGTGCTTCTGTACAGGGTGCTGTCACCCTCCTAACCCCAGATGGGATGAGCAGTGTTTAATGTGCCAGGACAAAGCCCTGAGAGGACCACAACATGGAGTGGATCCAGTCGGCCCTTGCTTACAGCTCCAAGCACAGCCTTGCTACTTGAAAGAGATAGGTGGGAGGCTCAATTTTGTGGGAGAAGCACAATGAAAGTTCAATTTCATTACAAAAAATACCAAGCTGGCACTCCTTCTCTGTGTACAGAACTGGAGAAAAAAATGTTAAATAATGCGCCAACAGAAAGGCCCAGGAATGCTTTCAGTCCCAATAAACTGACCTGGTATTTGCTGTAATGAGATTTGGCCTGCAGTAAATATCAGACTTTTAAGATTTCTCCTTTGTAATTTCCTCTGGTTGTCATCTTTCCTTTTATCATCATCTATGAAATATGCCACAGTCCACTAAAGATGGTAACTTTCCCAAGATAAAGAAATCCCCCCTCTTGAAAAGAATTACAGAAAAGTTAAAGGTAAGTTATACAGAAATATTACACAACAAATCTCGAAATGTCCAGCACGGCAGTCACTTACTTTATCAGTGAGTTTTAGCTCTGGGTCTGTCTTAATTAGCTCCCAGTTTCCATAGCCATGTTCATAGATCCCAAGCAACAGACGAGAATCATCCTCCACACCCCACTCCACATCGAAATGCGCCGCTTTGACTCGGCAGCTCAGGCAGTATCTACGGGGTTCAAAACCAAGGGCGTGAGAAATGGGGCCTTCCCAACATGCTGAAGAAGCTGCCCAACCACACACAGCTCTAACCCCATTCTATGTCCAGCCAGCCATTCGGAAACACGGTAAAGACACTCACTTTTTTTTTTCCTCAGGGTCCACAGGGATAGATTTATGCAGCATCTCAAACTCTTCTTCATGTTGGATAATGGACTTCACATTAACCTGAACCCCAGAGATCTTGATGGTTGGGCCTCTTCTCTTGCCTGGTCCTTTTCCTAAATACAAATGTTATATTCCTTAAATGAAAAGGCTCTCTACTATCAAACTCTGACTTTTCCACTCTATACAGCCTCTAGCATATTATTAGATCAAAGACAGAACTTATAAGAGAAATTATCCTCAACTAATGATTTGTTGGGTTTTGTTTTGTTTTTTTGTATTATTGTTTTGTTTTTTCAAGATAGGTTTTCTCTGTGCAACCATGCTGACCTCGGACTCACAGAGATCTACCTGCCTCTGCCTCCTGAGTGCTAGGATTAAAGGTGTGCACCACCACCACCCAGCCTCAACTAATGTTTATAAAATAAATTTTAAGCAGTATTTTAACATTTCTAGTCTTAAAATATGTATTGATATTTGTACCTGTAATTTTCCTGCTTATATTTCTTTATGTAAGCTAATTAACAGAAGATTCAAAAGGCATATTAATGTTAAAATTTTAGAAAAGCTAAAAATAAGTGCTTTAGATGACTCTTATTTATCTTCACTTATTGCTTTCTGGAAAAGTATGAGCTCTTGTTAAAGCTAGCCCATTGAAATACTAAAGACTGACAGTCATGGGTAACACAAGATAGTGACTCCAAACAGCACTGGAAATCACAATTCATCTACGAGTGAAATAAAACCACTCCAACCAGAGCCTAAGCTGAAAACTTCAAAACTTCAAGATGCCACTTTTTTGTAAGAACAAAGATGATTCTCAGGAGAAAAATGAGTATCGACAGTTTACATAAAACAACACATATACATCTACCTTAAAAGATAAAACCTCATTCACTAAAAGAAAAATGAGATCCTCTTTCTCGCCTATCAGGCTAGCAAAAATCCAAATGTTTGCCAGGTGTGGTGGCACAGGTCTCAGCACTCAGCAGGCAGAAGCTGGTGGATCTCTGAATTCCAGGACAGCCTAGTAGTCTACCGTGTGAGTTCCAGGATAGCCTGGTATACACAGTGAGTTTCATGACAGCTTGGTCTACAGAGAGACAGCCCGTCTCACAAACAAAAACAAACAAACAAACAGTTAACACCCCATTCTGTTTGTGAAGCTTGCCAACAGGCACTACCAACCATCTACTGGTAGTTCCAGACCAACACAGGATAATCTAGTGATACCAGAACAAAATGCCCAGACATTTACCTCAGAGCCCTACAATCCCACTTTTAAAAATCTATCTTAAAAATCCTGACAGAGAAATAAGGTAGACTATTTAGCAGAGCACATTTTTTCTTGTAACTTTATTGATGATAGCAAAAGACTGAGAATAACTCAAATACTTAGAACTAAGAGACAGAGAAGATGAAGTGTGACAGAAGACCATATCTGCATGCATGCTGTGCAGGACACATGAGGAACAGACACGTCAAGTACTACATTCTCTTCTGTATGCGGACAGAAGTACACACGTGCTTAGATTTCCTAAACGAGCAATAGAATGAATTCATAATTAACACAACAGTGCCTAAAAGGAAGGAAGCAAACACAGATAGAAACGGCAATGAAGCAGGATCCTCCTCTCCCTCCGTGATTGCTGCGCATAGTTTAGACTTGGAAACCTTTTCATGTCAGTATTTCACATCACTACAAAATAACAGTACTAAGTCAGGCATGGTGCCGGTGCAATGGCAGCCCTGGGGAGGCCGGTCAAGAGGACTCCCCGACTCTGACGGCAGCCTGAGCCAATACCAGACAAGCCGGGCTACACAGAAAGACGCTGTCAGGAGAGGCAGGGAAGGAAAGCAGGCGGGAAGTTAGTTCAACCAAAATGAGAACGGCGATCCCTAAAAATCAAAACTATATGAAAAGAAAGTCTGAATTCAGTTGATGACACAATCACACACAGAAAGGAACAGCTTCAAATAAACTATTAGTGACGTGTATTCTAAAGACAAAAAGATAAATAAATGCAAGTCTTCTCAGAGATAAGATTAATATTGAGGGCCAGACATGGTGGTGCACACCTTAATCTCATCACTCAGGAGAGAGAGGCAGACTGGCCTCCATAAATTCAAGACCACCAGGGCTACATAGAGAGACCCTGTCTCAAAACACACACACACACACACACACACACACACACACACAAAGATTAATATTGGTATTTGGAAATGCATGTATATGATGTGGGGTAAAACATGAGCATAATTATGTTAAGAACAGAATCAATAATTTACACTGGAAATGGAAATGTCAGCCTGGCTCAAAATATGCTAGATACAGTCTACAGGAAATAAATTCAGGGGAAGGAAGTTAATGTCAGGAAGAAGCAATAAGCCACAACCAGAACAGGAACATATATAAGAAAAAAAGAGGACATGGAGTCTCCAAAATGGAAACTCGAAGAGAACAGAACCAAACAAACAGAACAACGCACAGATGCATGGTATACCCCCTTTGAATTGTGTTTAAAAAATGAAAACAGCCACCGGTACCAAGTACAGAATGCTAAGGGGTTGCAAATTGCTTTCTGACTGAATCTGAAACCTCCTCCAGGAAGGAATTCATGCTCCTCCTATAAACCCACTGTTTGTTCTTCCAAACACTGGCATGCTGGTTTATTTTAGCCATGACACATGCTAGTCATCTGGGAAGAGGGAACATCAAGTGAGGGGTTACCTCCATCAGACTGGCCTGCAGGCCTGTCTCTAAGGCATTTTCTGGATTAGTGGTTGATATGTGAGGGCCCAGCCCACTTTGGAAGGTGTCAACCCTGGGCAGGTGGTTCCTGGGTTGCTGTGGGTATTGCTCTGTATAAATAAAATGCTGATTGGCCAGTAGCCAGGCAGGAAGTATAGGCAGGACAAGCAGAGAAGAGAATTCTGGGAACAGGAAGGCTGAGTGAGGAGATGATGCCAGCTGCCGCCATGAGTACCAACATGTGAGACACTGGTAAGCCATGAGCCATGTGGCAAGGTATAGATTTATAGAAATGGGTTAGTTTAAGATGTAAGAACTAGATAGCTAGAAGCCTGAGCCATTAGGCCAAATAGTTTAAATAATAATTTTTAAAAAATGGGGTAGGGTTCTGTTTTTGTCTTTCCAGGATAATGGAAATACCCATCTTCCAGAAATCATAAGGCCTTGGATATCCAGATGTCTACAACAGAAAGAAAGAATCTATTGGTACCAATCTACACAGGGTAAAATCTCACTGCCAAACATCTATATCTCTTTCAATCTAGAAAGGTTGTGGTTCCAATTCAATTATAAACCAAGCTGGCTTTTGAGATGGAATTGGCTCACTCCTTCTCTAAACCCAAACATATTGCTAAAATGAAAAAGGTTGAGAGATTCTTTTGTCCTATATCAGAAAGGCCCTCTGGTGTGGGACAAAGAAAAACCAGTATTTTTATTTAAATCAGGTTGATTATAAATGCAATCTCTTTCTAAAGAAGAAAAGGGGATATGATATAGATTTGATAGGATAAAAGGATAGATCACTGAACCTACTTTTAATGAACAACTTGTTTGAAATGTTTTACATTGCTATGGATTTTAGTTTATTGATACAGATTCAAAGTTAATTTTGTTATACTATATATATATTTCTACTCTCATTTGAGGTATTATGTTTATGTAACTCATTTAGACTGTAATGGATAATTAAGAATTACAAAAAAAGAAATATAGATTAATAATTAGTCTTCTATGATAGTCAAACTTGTAGCATGTTAGTGCTTGATTAACTGGACATGCAGAACTCATAGGAAGGTGACCACTGAACTTTGCTTGGCAAAATGGTCCTTCAGGTTCCTGCTTTGCAGAGGAAACTGCCAGACATTCTACAGGACACAGAGAAAAGTGACTGAGAGACTCTAGGCCTGTGGGCTAAAGACAGATGCCCCAACTTTACAGAGGAACTTTGGATGACTGTCCAGGCTGCCAGCTGTCTCTGTCTACTCTCACAAGACTCCTGAAAGTTGCTTGCGTCCTTCTCCCATTTCTCAGGTAATATTATAACTTTCTGAGGTCTTTGATGTAGTTGAAGACTAGACAGTTATAATTCTCCTTAGTTATGATAAAAGATTAGTTAGATATGAAACCTTAGACTCACAAATATAGGATAGATAGGATATCTTCTTTAATTTTGCCAAATACAAATAGACTAGATTTTATATATAGACTAGATATTGTAACTGTAATTCTTGCTTAATAATTGTTTTGTTATATGTAATTTTACTATATGAAAGTTAGCGAGGCAGGAAGTAAAGGCGGGATGAGGAGAGAGGAGAATTCTGGGAACAGGAAGGCTGAGTCAGAGGAGACGCTGCCAGCTGCTGCCATGAGTACCAACATGTAAGATGCTGGTAAGCCAAGAGCCATGTGGCAAGGTATAGATTTATAGAAATGGGTTAATTTAAGATGTAAGAACTAGATAGCTAGAAGCCTGAGCCATTAGGCCAAACAGTTTAAATAATATAAAAGTCTGTGTGTCTATTTTATAAGTGGGCTACGGGACTGATGGGGTTTGGCAGGAGCTGGAGAGAAGCTCTCCAGCTACACTGGGTTATATACGAAAGGAGGCTGAGGAAGCCAGTAAACAGTGTTCCACCATGGCTCCTGCCTCTGCTCCTGCTTGACTTGCTTCCCTGATCTCCCTGACTGATGATAAACCCGTTCCTCCCAACAGGTTTTTGGTCAGTGTTTTATCATGCAGCAGGGAAGCTAACTTGGACAGAAATTGGTAGCAGCATGTGAGCTGCTACCGTGAAGAACCGGACCACGTTCATGTTTCGAGGACTATGGAAGACTTTCAAACAACTGAACACCATGAGCAGAAATTAATTTGCCATTCTAGTATGAGCCTGGAAGACAGTGCTGCAAGCAATGTGAACATGGAGGCCAAACTCAAAGGGTTTCAGAGGGAAACAATACTAGAAAGTGAACTCCAGACCATCTGGGTGGTATTTTGGCAAGAATCTAGCTGTCTTCTGCTCCTATCCGTTAAACAGTGTTGAGACTGTGACCGACTATGGGGACTTTTGAAGTTGGACTGAAACATTTTATTATAATATGGCAACAAGGCTGTCGGGGCAAGGGAGTATAATGTGGGGGTTTGAATGAGAAATGTTGCCACAGTCTAGGGTATTTGAACTCAGTCTGCAGTTGGTGCCACCGTTTGGGGAGGTTTAGTTGGCACAGCCTTGCTGGGAGAAATATGTCACTGGGGTGGACTTTGAAATTTTGCTTTCCAGTTTGTTTTCTCCGCTTCAGGCCTTCATTAGAGGATGTGTGCTCTCCACTTCCTGCTCTAGCCGCCAGGCCTACCTGCTTCCCTACTACATGTAAACTATACGCCGCCGTGCTTCCCCGCCATAACCCTCGGCAACCATAAACCCAGATGAACCCGCCTGTGAGTCGATTTTGATCACAGCAACAAAAAAGGAATTTATGCATCGGGCAAAACTCCTCTGGTTTTTTTGTTTGTTTGTTTGTTTGTTTGTTTTTAGTTTCGGTTTTTCAAGACAGGGTTTCTCTGTTTAACTCTGGCCATCCTGGAACGCACTCTGTAGACCAGGCTGGCCCCAAACTCACAAAGATCCACCTGCCTCTGCCTCCTGAGAGCTGGAACTAAAGGCATGTGCTACCACCACCCAGTCCCTTTTCTGGTTTCCAAGAGGAAAGAAATTATGTTCAGCCCAATTACAACAAACTCTAGTGCCATGAAAATCTCTAGATAACCAAAATGTTTATATTATTTGTCCAATTCTCTAAATATCTTACAATTGCCATAACATAACAACCTACATCTCATAGTGTTTAAGGTCTATAACCCTTCAGAGCTAAAATATGCAGGTGTCTACTCTACTCTGGCCCATAATGTCTTTGTATCATTCAGCCAAGTTTAATGTTTTCACAGAAGCATCAAAGAAACCTCTCATCTTGTTTATCACATCAGACATTCACAAAGTCACTTCATCTGAGAGTAGATACATGGGATCTTACAACACTGAGCTCACAGAAAGGCAACTCAAAATCCATAACTGCAAGTACCAGGTACATGTGGGCTGTAAGTACAGTTTTTAAAAACCCGTATGTAACAGAAATTCCAGTCCATGAGTACCAGATATGGAAGAATCTCGGAACTAGACTTGCTGACTGACTTACCTTCGCTGGCATTTTCTTTCAGCTGTTCTTCATATTCCTGCATTGCTGACACACAGCTATTATGAATCAGTTCCCCGAGGCGTTTCAGGTCTGCCACAGACTTGTCCACTAGCTCGGCATCACGTGCTATGCACTCTAGCCTGAAAAAGGACAAAGATCAAGACACTGTGCCACTTTCTATCACATAATGCTACTATGTCTCCTAAGTGCTTGCTCTTGAAAGATGATTCCTGTATGAGTGGGTGCAAGGCCAACCAGAACAATGTGCAATAACTAAGGCACATTCACCACCAAGAAGTGCCTTGGGGCAGAAGAGATGGCTCAGAGGTCAAGAGCACTGGCTGCTCTTTCAGAGGTCCTGAGTTCAATTCCCAGCAGCCCATAGTGGCTCACAACCATCTATAGTGGGGTCTGATGCCCTCTTCTGGCATGCAGGCAGAACAGTGTATACGTAGTAAATAAATAAATCTTTAAAAAAAAAAAAAAAAAGAGCCGGGCAGTGATGGCTCATGCCTTTAATCACAGCACTGGGGAGGCAGAAGCTGGTGGATCTCTGAGCTCGAGTCCAGCCTGGTCTACAGAGTGAGTTCCAGGACAGCCAGGGCTACACAGAGAAACCCTCTCTCAAAAAACAACAACAACAAATGAATTGCCTTGGGATATTCCACCCTAACATCAGAGAGAAAAGGATCTGTGTTCTTCTCTACAAATGAGCTGTCTGCAACTCTTAGCATGTAGGGTGCCTAAAGAATACACACATTAGTTTGCCTTTCTGTGTTCCTTTTCTTTTCTCCTGTGCTAGCCACTGCAATCCTCCTAGAAGCACAGGATAATTACTTCTCCATTACTCAGTTCACTTCTATGGCATACCAAACGCATGAATCCACTGATAAAAATCAGTCTGTCTAAAGGCTCACAGACCCACTTGCCCACATCCAGTGGGTTTTACACTAACTTCTTCAAAGATGAGAATTTTGCATCTGGATGCTCAAACAGTCCCAGAGAGATGCTGTACTGTCTGTTAATGGACTACTGTATCTCTCCTTCCTCTCCCAATGGAAAGACAAAACCAAAGGACACACTTGGGATTTCCACCAGACCCAGAAGTTTCTAATAGACAGGCATCTGACATGTCCTTTAAACCAGTGCTCTTATTTGAAAGATATGTGATGAATGCGTAAAAAGCAAGATATTAAACTATTTGAAATATCCAGACACTTCTGTTAAAAACCCAATCTCTAAATGTATACTCTGAGCAGCAGTAACTGACACTTTCCCTAGTACTGCCAAGATAACACAGCTCTTTATACTACCTTCATGACATCACTAGATCATGAAATCACAAAAGACACGTTTTCCTCCCATGCTCCTAAATCAAAGAACTAACTACCTGCATTGTCGAATGGAGCCCTGTGAGCATCCCTCCTGGACCACTCTTGACCATGCAGTCTGCATGCGTGTGCCTCATCTCCCTCATTCAGACAAAACTTCTGAATGGTCAGTCTACAGCCACCTTTCCAAAACAGGACATGCACCCAATACAGTAATGTCTTAACAGTGTCTCCCTTAGGTGGAAAAACTGTTCCCAGCATTAGTATTAAATAGAAAGTATTATCTCCCCTCACAAAAAAGGGGGAAAAAGTCTGCTGCTCTATAGGAAAAGTAAAAAGAAGACAGATCTATTATTGGTCTTACCTTTCAAGAGGGAGACCAAACTTCTTATAAGCCTTGATGAACCTAAGAATATGATCAACAAAATGAATTAAAAAATCACAAGTATTAACTGTACAAATGCCACAATATCCTGTCAGGAAGTACGAGCCACACCAACTGTCAGGAGACTGACACAATCCCTACATCTAATAAGTGACAATTGAGTGTTTCTGAACCGGTCAACTTACAGCACTCAAGCACTATTCAAGGTAGACACCATGTTTACTGTCAGTGACAGATCGGACCGGAACTGCGACCGCACTGGCATGTCCTTTTTAGAAGGAAGACGTGCACAACAGCTCTGCTATGATAAAACTCTACATCATTACTCAGTGGCCAATTCAGTCCATTAATTCTATGCTGAGTTCTAGATCACAATATTTTTCATTATTTTATGGTTATGATACAACTGTAAGATTTCTACGACTGTCACAATTTTCTAAACTAAGCAGAACTATACACAATACATACATATGTAAACACATGTATAATTTAAAAGTTATACAAAACTGTTGCCCACCCTTGTCTCCAACCAAAGCTCCAATCTTATCTTCCCATAGTCTCTACCTTTAATCATGCTGCTCATTCCCCATTTCCCTTCGCCATTGCATGCTAACTACCAACACTATCAATAAAAAGCAAGATGTCACAGCACATCAAAGCCTCACTGTAATATGCCAAGTTACTATGAAAACTGGTCATGGAACAGTGTAAGGAAAGACACTAAGAAAAAAGGAAGTGAAAGATGTAACAATGGCACTAAATATGAGAACAGCTAAGCAACAATATGAAAGAACAAATTTGCATATAAAACTTAATAAAGTGTTAGATAGGAAAGTGAACCTGAGGGTTATCCCTTGACCCTACATTTCTCCTTAATAGAAAATGAAATCTTTCCTGGCTGAAATAGTAGGCTTTGAGATGTAAAAATAATAAGGATGATGGAAGGCAGCTCTTGCCTAGCATACACCAGGCCCTGGGTTCAATCTTAGCACTGAAAACGTGAAAATAATCTTCAATGGCACAATAAGGTTATCCAAAACTAAAGTCATTAGTTGTTCCTCCATAAAAATAACAAATCCATCAATAAAAACAGCCCAAATTGACTCTAAGGAAAACCTAATAATTATGCATTAGTCTGCAGCCATCTGAAGCATCTGTTGAGGAAAATGACTGAGTCTCCGTAGAGCAAAGAGCTTTCTGTCATTGCAATTCACTTTATTTCCAATTCCTTCCTGAGAAACCCTTGCATGGCAGCCACCAGTGAGGAGGGCAGGGCTGAGGCATCTCAGGGGACACTAACTTGACTACACGCCCCCAAAGTGCGGTTCTCAGGTTTGACCATTTTATTCTTTTCTTTATTTATTTTTATTACTAATTATTAGTATTATGTATATGGGTATTTTGGCTGCATAAATGTCTGTGTGCCATGTGAGTGCTCGGTGTCCAGGGAGGCCAGGAGGAGTCAGATGCCCTAGAACTGAAGTTGTAGATGGTTGTAAGCTGTCATGGGGGTCCTCTGCACGAGCAGTCAGTGCTGTCCACTGCTGGGCCGTCTCCTGGTCTGTCTTTTTAGTATGAACCAAAACTCTTTATGGACACTCATGTCCACAGATCACTGGTAATAATCACAATGCAAATGTTTAACACACCAGCGGCCTGGGGCACATCCCTTGGAGATAATACGACACTAGTCAAAATTAAAAACAACTGGAAATAAGACGCCCACAGGATACCCTGAAAGGCTCTGACATACTCCTAGGAATCAAAAAGACCACACACATTTGCATGTCTGCAGAAATGCAAAGGGGAGATGTGGGATGGTCCTAACTTCACTTCTGTATGTGCAGATCCTCTGGGTCAGGGCGTAGCTGTGAACAGACTCCCAGAGCACTACACAAGATCCATACCAAGCTCCTCAAAGAGGTCAGCAGACTTGCTAGCTGGAAGAACTGAGATCTGCCTGTCAATTGCTAATCACTCCGCTAAAGCAGCAGAGACTTCCAAGAACATGACAGAAAACACAGACTGGAGGGAAGTCAGTGAACAAACAGCATCCAACTGGCCAGTGAGGGAAACTGAGGTCCAGAGTTCCATAGTACATTACTTACAACATCTGCTTTTTACCAGGGGGTGGCGCACACCTTTAACCCCAGCACTCCAGAGACAGAGGCAGGCGGATCTCTGTGAGTTCAAGGCCAGCCTGAGCTACAGAGGGAGTTCCAGGACAGCCAGGACTACACAGAGAAACCCTGTCTCAAAAAACAACCACCCAACCACCTGGTTTTCAAAGAAAAACAAAATGATGGCACATGAGGAAGCAAGTACAGTGCACAAGGACAGAAGACAAAGGCCACCAAGACAACTGCTGTAAGAAGTCTGGAGCCTGGACTCAGAAGACACGGGCAGGTTATACCTCCAGAATGAGAGAGTCACCTAGGAAGAGACGATCGGTAGAAATATAAATTGGGGGGGGGGGAATTCGAGTAGAGCACTTGCCCGGCATGCGTGTAGCCTTGGGTTTGATTCTAAGAGGGAAGTAAAAGGAACACATAGAAAAACTTAAAAAGGAGACAAACAATTTCTAGAGCTGAAAAGTACAAAAACTGAAATTGGAGGGATCAGTAGAGGATCAGGAGAAAAAAAAAAGAATCAATAAACTTGAAAACAAAGCAAACAACAATAAAACGGAATAAGACTTGAGAAGCAAAAAAAAAATTAAGATACTGCCAGAAACTGAAAAATAGAGAATTCATCCTTAGCAGACACACCCTAAAAGAAACCAGGAAATGAGAACCCTTCAGGCAGGAATCGAGGGCATTACACAGTAGCTCAGTCCGCATGAAGAAATAAGTTAGCAACTACTTTGGGTTGATCTCTCCACCAACCCTCCTAAGCACTGACACAGAACTGATTTACACAGCTGTGGTGATGGCCTTCCAGTGTGTGAGGAACTGTGGGCCAGCAGCATGGAAGGAGGAAGGAGAGTGACTGCAGCCAAGAGGTTCACAAACCGCTGACATAAGCTGCTATGCATTCAGATGTCACTTGAAATCTCCATGGAAACCACCAATAACTGAAAACAACAAAACCCCCCAAAGACAGCCATGGAGACAGGGCAGTCAGAATGGAACACTGAATGAAGCCTGCCACTGAGCACAGCAGGCACCGCAGAGAGGAAAGGAGGAAAGACAGCACCAGACGGACACAGGACACCAATCACTGCACTGCATCTAATGCACTAAGACAAAGCAAAAAGTTGTCAGAGGAGACTCTAAAAAACCACTCTAACTGCAGGATGCCTACAAGAGACAAGTTAGATTTAAAGATGCAGACCAAAAAGATAAAAAGATGAACAATAAATACCACCATCTTTGCCATTCCTAATGTCCAAAAAGTGAACTCAATGTCTAAAGCAGATTGAAGCGAGAACAGGCAGGCTGCCAAACAAAGTATTAGGTGTGCAGCTAGAAGAGGAATCCAAGCAAACCACCACGGACTGCATGAGCACTGATGCGGACCGGGACGGGGGCAGAAAGGGCGGCGCTACCAGCCAAGCTCTCTCGACATGCACACTAATAAATACAGGCGCATGTCGTACACGTCAGCCTCCCTTTGGTCAACTCCTCCTGAAAACAGTCTCAAGAATCAGAAAACAGTAAGGAAATAAAAAGATGGAAAAGAGCCTATGATCTCAGCACTCAGAGGGAAAGGCAAGAGGCTGAGGACATCACAGAAAGGGCCCTTCTGTCTCACAGGAGCTCAAGGCCAGCTAGGCTACATGAGACCTACCTCACCCCCATAGAGCAGCCCAACCAAAACCTAAAAATAAAAACGTGATGAAAGTAGGAAAGCCCTCACTGGGAAAACTACAGGAACTCATCAGAATGACCGCATTCTCCATGATCACTTTCTGCCTAGCCTGTCCTAAGTGTCAGAGTCCCCCTGGCCAGGGTTAGAACACATCCTTCCAGAAAAGCTCAAGCAAAGCAGAGACTCCACCAACCTTCGGATCTCTGCGTCCGTGAAGCCCTCCACCAGGTCTTTGCGCACACTTCGGGGGCGCCCTCTGCGCTTCGGCTTCTTATCGTCGTCAGAGTCGTCTGTCTCACTCTCAGAAGCAGACGATCTCTGGGCTTGCCTCTTAGACTCCGTGTCAGAATCGCTGTCATTTGTCTGAGCCTGGAAACAAACAAATGAGGCAAAGTCGCACTTTAGCAACTGTCAAGTCCAGAAATAAAGGATTAAGACCAGCTCAGCTTAACTGTTAGCGCTCAGACATCCCATCATATCTGACAAGTCAGTTTTCCTTCAGGTGTCAGGCAATAAGGGGAGAGAAACTGTCATACTTTCAGTGATCTTGCAATGATTAAATGTACTGAATTAAAAATAGTTGGAAAAAAAATAGTTGGCTAATTTTTATACTATAATATATATGATACCCAATTTGAAACAGTAATTCCTCAGACAACTAACTACTTTTCTTTGTCTTTTTCTCCTTTGTAAAATGAGGATAATAGCGTGATAGTCCCTTTGAGACAGGGTTTTCATAAGCATTAAATGCATCTAGAAATGAAAATGCACTCAGACTATGTCTGGCATGCAGGAACTGCTCAGAAGGTGATAATGTTGATTTACCATGATACTAGACAAGCTTAATAGCTCCAACAAAATGGTTAATAAATTTTCTTATTTCAATGATACTGGGTGGGGGGCAGGGTGTATCAAACAGTGCTTGTGAAAGACTGACTAGGCTGTGCAGCCTGTGCATGTCCTCTATTAGTCATGTAACCTTTTACTACTTAGACCTAGTACTGTAAACACTGAAGGACAAAAACATCTGGCACTCTGAAAGTTGAAGACAGTAATGATGGGAACCAAACTGTCAGGCTGTCAGCAGTTTTAACCTCAAAGGCAAAACACAAACTTCTGTGAACTTAGAAGTCATCCAGTCATTTCTTGAAAAGCTGATCAGCAAAGACTAAGAAACAAGTCACCAGAGTGCCTGTGAGCCCTGGCATCCCGCTGGCCTCCCGCTGGCCTCCCGCTGGCCTCCTGCTGGCCTCCCTGTGTCAAGGCCTCACCCTTGACCAATCTGCTCTTGATGTTGCATAGGGCCCAGGCATACGTTCCCCTCACCTTTTTAGTGGAACTACGAATTCGCGGCAGCATATAGATTTCTTCTAGCTCCTTCTGTCGTTCCTCCTCCTCCACTTTCTTCCTTTGCTCCTCTGGAATGATTTCATCCCAGTCCTTGTGAGGACGTTCCTCTAGCTCCTCTTCATCTTCCATCGTTGCAAAGTTGGCAACCTGGAAGTGAAGGGACGACCCCCAGCTGACATTTCTCCACTTGCAAACCCCAGCTGCCAAGCATCGACTTAACGAGTGTTTTTAATTTAGAACACTGTAAAAGGACTCATAATATTATATAATCAAAATCAATTTATTTTTACTATTCTCACCTTTTATTTCCCCCAAATCAACTTGTCAAAGCTATCGGTTCATCAAAAACTTTTTTTAAAATTAGGGAAATAGACACAGAAAGATTAAAAAAAAAAATTGTAAATTTTACTAAAAAGTTGTTAAATCATTCATGTATTTCATTTGCATCACACTCACTGTGTAATTTAATTTGCTTGGATACACAATATTTGGTACCTAATCATCCATGATGACCTTGCATCTCCCTAACTGTGATGGGCAGCAGAAGCCAGGCCCGCTCGTCTAGTCCACCCGTACCCTTACTCACTGTTACCAGAGGGTAAGCAGCAGAAGGTGTGTAAAGATTATAGGTACTCACGAATACATTGTAATCTTAGGCAGAGTACAAACAATGTATCTAGAAAACATGTCACTTATTGCCTACCAAACATCTGTAGGTGTTTGTACTCAAATGATATGTGCCCCAAGAAAGAAAACCATCTAAGCCTACCAGGCCAGAGCTACAAGGCAGACCCGAGCCGGCTCTGGAAGGCCCTGTGCATCTGTCAGAGCCCCATTTCTGGTTTCACAATCTTTTACACGCCTTCCTTCTTGGCCTCAGTGTCCCATGAAGCACAAAAGGGCCTTTACAGTTTCCACTCCTCAAAGTCATGTGGAGCTAACGCAAAATCAAATCAAAACCTTACACATGCAGTAAAAATTAACTCTTTAACTTCCAATGATATTTAAATCTTTACAACCAGATTTTTTAAATTTCAAGGGGAAAAAAAGATATACAATTTCTGAGATTGTTAAAAACAAACCATCTCACCACTCTGTCAAATTAAGCACTCTTTACAACTGGTTTGGTCTGGATTGTTTATATGAATTTACTTAGTGTGTGTGTGTGTGTGTGTGTGTGTGTGTGTGTGTGTGTGTGCACATCACTGCACATGTTGTGAAGGTCAGAGGACAACCTTTATCAGTCAGCTCTTTCCTCCACAATGTGTACTCCAGGAACCGAACTCAGGTTGGCAACAAGCACCTTTACCCAGTGAGCTATCCTGGGGGCTGTAGGTCCAGAATTTTTAAGGAGTCAAATAAAAACGATAAACATAAATATGAATACAAGTTAATAGGTCATGTAGCTGGGAATTAATTTTTCCAAAGGCAGTATTGTGAGTGATGGGCCAAACATTCTGCCTGGGAAATGATCACAGCTACACTTATGTATCATGTTAAGAAACTAACAGCCTCCCTGGGTGGTGGTGGTACAACACACCTTTAATCCCAGCTCTTTGGATCTCTGTGTTTGAGGCCAGCCTGGTCTACAGAGTGAGTTCTAGAACAGCCAGTGATGCATAGTAAAATCCTGTTGCCAAAAAAAAAAAAAAAAAGGAATAAGAAAAAGAAAAAGGTAAAAAGGAAGGAAGAAAGGAGGGAAGGAGGTGACAGCCTTCCTATACACTAGTTCAGCCAACTGTAAATACAATGCATACTTCCTCACAGATGTGCTATAAATATCAAAGGAGTGAATGTGTACCACATACTTTAAAATACTTCAAAAATAGCAAAGAGTAACAGGAGTGCTGTTATTGCTGAATAAAATGGTAATCTTTTTTTTTTTCCTTAAATTGCTGTTTCCAACATACTAAATCAAGGCTTGAGACAAAGGATTAAGGAGAAAAATAACGTCAACTCTGCTGAAGTACTCACTCCATAAACAGAAAGGCTGTAGGGTAAGCAGACCTCTAGTGTTAATCATATTTCCCCAAGTATTAAATCATAGGACAAAAAGGACTCAGGAAGGAAACAGTAGCCAGCAATGTGCTGACTATATTTGAATACCTTATAGCATGTGGAATTTTTCTGTATCGAAATAATCATGTAAGATTCTAATCAAAACATTGTAAGATCACATCTGTCTAACTGTGAGGATAGTCACAGAGGTAGAATCAGGTTCAATGTTTGTGTCCCCTCAAAAATTCATATGTTGCAGGGTTAGGGTTATGCTGTGGGATGTTCTGTATGTCCTGTGGGAGCCCGTTCTCGGGTTCCTCGTGGCTTTACCCAGCAAGTCCGCATAGAGGATGATTAGGACCACAGGCCTGAGTGCAGGTGTCTGAGATGGTCTGCACTTGGCTGTGCTGGGGAATGGTCTGTATGGCAAATGTGTTGCTCTGAATGGTCAATAAATAAAACCTGATCGGTCGTGGCAAGGCAGGAAGTATAGGCAGGACTAACAGAGAGGAGAAATAAAAGAACAGGAAGGCAGAAGGACTCACAGCCTGCAGCAGCTGCCAAGACAAGGAAGATGTAAAGTACCGTAAGTCACGAGCCACTTACCGTGGCAAGGTATAGATTTATAGAAATGGACTAATTTAAGATATAAGAACAGTTAGTAAGAAGCCAGCCACAGCCATACAGTTTGTAAGCAAAATAAGTCTCTGTGTTTACTTGGTTGGGTCTGAGCGGCTGTGGGACTGGCGGGTGACAGAGATTTGTCCTGACTGTGGGCAAGGCAGGAAAACTCTAGCTACAGGGTTATAGCTCAGTGGCAGAATGTCTACATAGCACGTGTGAGATCCTGAGTTCAAATCCCTGCACAACTACAACTAAAAGAAATTAGTGCTGAAATCCTGATGCCAGTATTTGACAGCACTAGGAAGGGGTCCTTGGAAAGTGATTAGCTCAGGATAATGCAGTCCTCATGGCACGATTAGGTGTCACCTTACACTAGGGACAGACAAGAAGACAGCAGTATGCTCGTCAGACGACAGACCTCACAGAACCTCAACCTGTTGGGACCATGACCTCAGAAACCTTCAGGACTGCGAGAAATAAATTCCACTGTTTAGATGAACCAGTCAATGATACTGTTCTAAGACACCAAATTTAAGACAAGCCACAAGGATGTATCCTTCGCCCTTTCCACCCTGTCCTCTGCATCCCAGAATGAATTCTGGGAATTGTACTCCAAGGCTCTTTGACCACTCCTCCCAGCTCCCTCCTCAGTCTTCCATGAAGACAATCCACCCTAGCCACCCATGGAGCACACACGACAAAGCACTGCTTCCCGTGAGGACCCAGCACTTCTCGCTCCACACCAGCCAGCCTACTGTCCCTAACACCACTGGAACCTTCACCCTTCTCTTGCTTCTTTAACCTGCATAGATAGAATCAGCCAGGGTCTCACTTGCATTTAAACCACTCGCTATTTGGATTCCCTGTGCCCTCCAGACCAATCTCCCACCTAGGATTGTCAAGTGACCCAATTTCTCCAACACCACGCATTGCTAGAGAAAGTTACATGACCCTGTTGAGCAGCTCCACAGCACAGACCCATCTAGATGTAGATGACTCCCTATCAAGTTCTTCCCCACACTCACAGTCCAACCCACAGCTGCCCCAATGCTTTCCGCTTCTCAGCAGAACTAAAGCCACAGACTGAATTCTCACTTTCCCTCCTCTTCAGGATGAGTTCCCTTTTCTTTCCGACCAAACTCTCAAGGTATGCTTTAGATTATATTGTTTCCTGCCTCCCTGGGGCAATGAGCCGTCAGCTTTCTTCCTTCTTAGGTCTCTTCAGGATCTGCCTATCCTCAATTTCTTCCTGCAACCTAGAAATACAGTAACATCTTTCTAAAATGTTAACTTACGTAGTCCTACTATCTGTTATACGGAATTACCTTTCCTAAACCTTTTAATAAACACCTATACTCAGTGATGCCACTTCCTATTCATCTGGTGTCCATAGTTTCAATATTCAGCCATGATTCCACATCCCTTTATTTCCCTTTGGGAGGGAAGAAGGCAGAGGGTAGGGAATAGGAGAAAAGGGAAGGAGAGTGGAGAGGGAAGGAAAAGAGGGAAAAAAAGGTTTAACCAAGTTATTAGGCATCTCCCAACTGTCACCAACAATTCCCATGCCTTTGACATCTCTTTGGCATTTGACGTCATAAATGTCTCCCATGCCCCATGTCCCTGCATACTTCCGGTCCTTTGCTAATCTTGTTAATGACACTGGGCATGATGAGTTAATTCGGGTACAGGGAAAACAGCAAGCCTAGAACAAAAGGAAGTACTCTAGACGCAGGAGTCACTGTCAGGGTCAGTGTTGAGTGCTCGCCCACCTTAAACTGCGACAGAAGCTCATCTGTTGCACTAGTCGACACTTCATTCTCTCTGGTTTCAGCCAAGCGCAAGATTTCGTCTATGTCCATCTCCTGAGGAACAAACACCACACAGGTACCGTGAACGAGCAACAGTCTCAGCGTTACTAAAACCGTCAGGTGTGCACCCCAGACAGCTTTCCTACCCCATTCTATTTACTCTCACAGCCTCAGTTGACATTGTCACTGCCCAACACTTCACACTGATATTTAGTCCAAGGATGAGGCGAAATTCAGGAAGTTCTAAGAAAGGAAACTATGGCCGGGTGGTGGTGGCGCACGCCTTTAATCCCAGCACTCGGGAGGCAGAGGCAGGCAGATCTCTGTGAGTTCGAAGCCAGCCTGGTCTCCAAAGCGAGTTCCAGGAAAGGCACAAAGCTACACAGAGAAACCCTGTCTTGAAAAAACAAAAAAACAAAACAAAAACAAAAAGAAAGGAAACTATGGAGAAATGCAGAGTCCTTCAGTGCCATACCCTTTCCTCTTTAATGTCATAAGAGCTTTGAGCTTGGCAAGGAAAAAAAAGAATCCCTGTACCTACAAATAATTACTTTATAAAAATCTCTAACAAGGAATCTGCTTCCTGTGAAATTTATATGCTCACAAAATATCCTTTAAAAAACACAAAAAACATTTTCCTATCTACTAGTGCATCTTTACTGTAAAAGTGATGGATTATACAACTACATTTCCTTTTAAGTCTATCATATACTTGAACAGTAGTCATGAAAACATGGGATACTTGTCTTTCTGAATCTGGCTCATTTCACTGGAAATGATGACCCCGATCAAGGTCTCCTACAAACGACATGACTTCACATGTACAGACACAATGGGCCTTTGCTGTCTCGGCACCTTTCGGTGGACACCCAGGCTGACTCAGCAGTTCAGAACTGTCAACAGTGCTCAGTAAGCAGGCTGGGAAGCGTCTTGGTGGCACCTCACTATGGTCCCTTTGGGTATAGTCCCAGGAGTACTACAGCTGGAGCATATGGCAGCTCCATTTTTAATTTCGAGAACCTTCATATTGATTCCCATGTGGCTACAAAAGTACATTTCCAGGCTCTGAGCTGATTACCTGAGGCTCTGACTCCTCTCCTTCAACTTCTTTGAAGAGATCCTCTGCTCCAAATTTCAAGATGGCGGTCAGCTCTTCTTTATTAAAAGGATTAGAGCTGTAGGAGTGAAATGCGGTTGTGATCTCCAGTAAGGGGCTGAAGGGATGGCTCAACGAGAAAGGGCATCTTGTTGCCAAGCCTGAGACTACCTCTGTTCATTCCCCAAGTCCCACATGATAGAAGTAGAAAACAAGTTATCTTCTACCTCCACACTCAGACAGAAGCACAAGTATGCCCTCTCTACTCCCTCACAAATAAATAAAAATGGGAAAAATTTAAGAGGGGCTAGAAATATGGCCTTTGCTGCTCTTCCAGAAGACTTGGGTTGGTTCCCAGCATGCACACATTACTCACAGCCACCTGTAACTCAAGTTACAAGTTACAATGCCTTCTTCTGGCTCAGTGGGTAAGGGCCTCTGTTCCAAGCCTGACAACCTGAGTTTGGTCCCCACAAACCACATGACAGAAGCAGAAAACCCATTCTTGCTCCCCACCTCCACATGCAGACACACATATCCATGAAAATAAATGGGGGCAGGGAACGGCAGCGGCATCCTTACAGCATCAAGAGCGGACAGATACTTCCTGTGGTGAAACCCTACGAAAGCCTGTCAAATGCTGGTGGGAACAATCTGGCTCTGGCTCTCGGGCTTTCTGCACTTACTTGGATCTTCCTGAGTTGTTTTCGAGGACTGTCCTGCCAGTGGTGTCCATGCGCTGAATCACGAGATGGTCCAACACCATCTTCTTTTTGGCCCGTTCTATGATCTCCTCTTCCACAGTCCCCTTTGTAACCAAGCGGTAAATATTCACCTGTAAAAAAAGGGAATGTTATGGTCATTTCTACTTAAAGCAAAAATTACTTCGTCAAAATCCAAGAGGAAGGTCACTTGTTCTCTTGTACCACATCATGACCACACCTGCTGGTCCAAGCAGGCAAAGAAGTGGGTGCAGAATGTGTGTTATCCTAACAGGCTCCATCCCAAAAGAGAAGTGCTTCTACAGATACCACAGCCTGCTTCTTGACCACATCTTCCCAACCATCTTTACAAAACCTGAATCACTAGCCACATATGAACCTTAAAGGTAGCCAATAGGAAATCAATCTTTGAGATCCACAGACAAAACAAAACAAAAACCCAAGCCTATGGCTTTCCAACACGTTGCAGATTACATTGTCATGGAGAAGACTAACTGCCCTGAATAGTTAGCCATGCTCTTAACACAGGAAAGGCTCAGCTTTAAGTCTGCTCCTCCTACATCTTTCCTGGTGAATATGTAGAAAGTCACTCTTGACATACTTTTCAGTTTGACATACTTTTCAGTTACTCTATTTTTTGTTCTTGTCATACCCCCACCTGCCCAGCTGAGGACTAAATCCAGGGCCTTGTGCCTGCAACCACTGAGCTTAATCCCCACCCCCCACGCCCGACATGTACTTTTCAAATAGAGGTAGGTTAAGAGTCCACATTAGGAGGCCCACAGACAAGCTAATAAAGAGAAGGCAATGAAGCAGGAAACAAACATCTTACAAACAGTCTTCCGGTAAGAATAAACCTCTGCATGCAGGCCCAAGAGATGGCCAGAGACCCTACCCACTGACCTGCTTCTTCTGACCGATTCTATGCGCTCGGGCTTGTGCCTGCAAGTCGTTCTGGGGGTTCCAGTCGGAGTCAAAGATGACAACTGTGTCCGCTGAAGCCAGATTGATTCCTAGGCCCCCAGCCCGTGTGGAGAGCAGGAAGCAGAAGTCCTGTACACAATGCAATATACTACTTTATGCAGTGGCCTTCTCAGAGACACTCTCACAGTCCAATAAGCCCTCACACCTGGAAAGCCCTGCAGGTGTGAAGAAAAGTGAGATATGGTGGACAAACTTTATGGAGGCTAAAAGGAGCTCAAGGACTTGAGACACAGGGGATTTTCATTTGATTAAGAGGAGTGTCAGTGCAGGGAACAAAGAAGAAAAGTAGAATCCAGTAAGACAGCAAGGACAGGGACTTATGTCCCGGCTGAAACCAGTGTATGCAACAAGTTAACAAAAGCACCACATCCACTCAGCCTTTGTGGGATTGTTTCAGCAAGCCACCCAAATGCATGCTTTCTGGGGAAAGGGAGGCTATGCATGTAAGGTGGTTAGTAAATCCATTTGTTAGGCAGTGAGGAGAACAGCAAAACTCATGAAACAAGCCTGCTGAGAAGCACAAGAACTACCATCACCACTGTGTGTGGCAAAGACTGGGCCCTAACGTCTTCCAGTTTCCGTAGCAACATGGCATCCTACCTTATCTCTCTAGGTGAGTGCTCAGGAAAACATGTGGACAAAGGGAAGGTAAACTGCACAGCCATGTAAAAAAGCTTAATATCACTATTTTCAGAGCATCTGATCATCTCTTTCAAAAGCTGAGACTTTGTGTTCTCTTTTCCATCTTTTTCTTTTGTATATTTTTTTATTTGGTATATGTGTGTGTAAGTATGCTGAGCCATTTCACCAGCCTCCAAAAGTTGATGCCTTCTGAGTACAAAACTACCACTCAAAAACTGGCCTAGGGTCAAGTATGGTGGCATGCACCTATAATTCAGCACTCATGAAGAAGAGGCAGGAGGGTCAGGATTTCAAGGCCGTCCATAGTTACATATTGAGTTTGAGACCACTCTGAGCTACAAAAGACTCTGTCTCTAAAAACAAAAACAAAACAAAATGACTAAATAAGTAAGCTGCTGACTTGGGGAATAAACCTCAATAAATGGATATATTTAACAGATAACAGACAGATACAAACAGGCAGGCAGACAGAAAGAGCAGAAAGTTCTTCACATTCTAACAGTCATAATCAACTGCATTAAGCCAGGAAAACACAAAGTGGGAGACAGCTACCTTCCAAGAATTTTAATTAATCATAATAAAAATTAGTCACCAGCTGAGAATACAAATACTATGTGGATACCTCTCTTAGAAAAGTCCTAGAGAGCCATAGCAAACAGTCTGGGGTAAGACACTAAACTGTAAATAACATCTGAATATCACATGGTCTCATAAACAATTTTCAGTGTCACAAAGATAATATAAGTTGCATGTTGTTAATGTACATTATCAAAATAATGGTTAAAAAGATTATGAAGCTTGACACTGCTAAAAGTAACCTAAAATGGGAGTATTTGTACATAGGCCATATAATTATAAATTGTTTTAGGAAAGTGAACAAAATGCATCAAGATATAATAATAAATAAAAACAATAATAAAATGGCTAAAGAAATAGCAGGGGCTGGAAAGCTAGCTCAGTGGTCCAGAGTACTTGCTGTTCTCGTAAAAGACCCAAGTTCAGTTCCTGGCACCCATATGTCAGCTCACAACCATTTCTAACTCCAGTTCCAAGGATTCCAACATCCTCTTCTGGGACCCTTGGGCACCAGGCGTATACTGAATAGACATACATACATAGAGGCTAAGGAGTCACCCACATACAATAAAAGTAACAGCAGAAGCATGAAAAAACACTAGAAACCAAACTCTAAGGTGCTGGGCTAGGGATGTGGCTTGGTGGCAAAGTGCCTAGTATGCACAAGGACCTGGGTTTGACCCCATAGCAGGGGTGGAAGTGGGGGATATCCCTAAGGCTTTTAACAACATGGGGAAATTCTTACAAGTATAATTCTGACCAAAAGAAGCCGAAATCATGTACAGCAAGATTACAATTAGGTAGCTGCAATGAGATGAATGGTTCCATCTGTACAGATACAGGCAGCAATGTGTGAAGACTGTCACTGGGGTCAAGGATACATTTAGGTATTCTTCACCATCTACAACATCTGATCAGTGGGCATGTAGTATCTTCCCCAATAAACTCTAAAATAACTGAAAGAGGCTGCAGAATGTCAAAGAAACCATATTGTACACATGGCTATCAGAGAATGAGAACCAAAAAAATAACTACACAAAAAAATTAAACTTCAGATTTTCTCTGAAAAGGAAATAAAGTATTTAACTCACATCATCTTTTAAATTAAGACAAGGGAACAGTTTTATCTTTGATAAACATTACAATAAAAAATTGCTGGTATTTTATTGAGTGTCTATTACATGCCAAGAAATGTGATGAGCACTTTGTTTTTGACTACATTTCACCCTCGTGGCAATATTACAAAGGAGGGCCTGGATCCCCTGCAGTTTACAGTTAAAGGAATCGGAGACAGAGAGATGAGACTAATGTTTCTCACAGTCTAATTCTGCAGTCTTGGTCCTCAGATACATTATCACCCTTCAGATAAGGAAGCATCCAGAACACTGTCTTACTAGGACCACCTATAAATTCAGAGACAGAAGGCCTATCATTCTGAAATAATGAAAGAGACACTGAGTTTTTAAAAACTTTAGGAAGCAGAACATAAAATTGTTCTTTCAAAAATTAAAAAAAAAAAAAAAAAACCAAGCGTCTAGAAATTAGAATTCTGTCCAGAACACTGCTAGGCTGTCTCCACTGAACCCTTTGTCTTACATGTTACTAGTTTCTCTTACATACTAAAGCTCTTCTTCCCCACTTCTTCTAAATCTGTCACCTGACCAATTGATATGCAGACTATATATACTCAGGTTTTCTAGTTCTGATATAGGTGTGCCCAAACCAAAATATTTTGTGAAACCAATTCCAAGCAGAACAGTCAGTAATGTAAAATTGTAGCTATGAAGCAGAGAAAGAGCATGGGCTACATCCCACCAGGAGTCTAACATAACTGAACCTTGGCAGACACACTGTTCAAGTATCAGCCCAGGAAGGACAGAGAAAAACCTTGGATAACATGCGCATCAAAGTTAACACAACTGGCCTGGCCCACCGGGTCCTTGCCTTGCTGTTCTGTCAAACCCCTAAGTTTGGTAATCCAGTAGAAAACATGACTAGTTCAGACCAAGGGAGCTAGAAAACCATGTACATGCTTGCGCGGTGAGTGACAGCAAATAAGGCATCTTCTAGAGTAAGGCTTTCCTGTTCTTGTCAAGACAGGAGAAGTCTGCTACAAAATGTTTCTGAAACAGAATACATTAAGCTGAAAAGACTTCTCCCTATACAAAGTCCAAGTTGTTCAAATAATAAAGCCATGCATAATGTACCTCAGAACCATCTGCATTGAAGTGATCCAATGCCTGTTTTCGGATTTCTCCCTTGATAGAACCATCCAGGCGCTGTAAAAATAAAGCACAGGAAAAATCTTAAGTGAAGAAGATCAGCTCACTCAGAATAGAACATCAGACTTGAAACCTCTATCTCTGGGACACACACAAGTAAAAATAACTGGGAATCGTTGGCAAAGTACTAGGAAGGGGTCCTGTGTAAACAGCATGGCTGATGTAACCCGAGCTCTCCAGTTACAAACTCAAGGTCAGAAGTTTCTGATTCAAAGAACTATCTAGTCTTGCCCAAGGATCAGAATGTCTGCCAAAACCTACAAGGAGAGAGATGAATACCCAGCCTGTGTGATGAGGAAATAGTACCTCTAGTCACTTAGTAAGTGGCTCCTGCAGAAAAACAATACTTCTTAGAGTAATATGGCCAAAAACATTGAGTGCTATACAAACCAAAACATAACATTTGGAAACGACCGAAAATGTTCAAATTAAATGATCATATATGCCAGCTTTTTCTAAAATTTACATTCTAAAGTCACTAAAAAGTGTTCAAATAGTAAAACTGTATCACCAACTGAGCCTCAGGCACTCATCTGTGCATGGAGGGTTCTATTTGTTTGTTTTGTTTTTTTCAAGACAGGATTTCTCTGTGTAGTTTTAGCTGTCCTGAAACTCACTCTGTAGATCAGGCTGGCCTCAAACTCAGAGAAGAATTTTTTATTAGTTAGAAAATATGTCACTTCCAGGTACAAAACTGTCACCATAGAGAAAATATTCAATACATACAAAGCAAATACTGAATGCTGTACATAAAAGGCATTTCTCATTATGTAGAACTACTTGCACACTTCATCCCTTAAAATCATCTCTTGACACACTGAACTTATAAAAGGTCAAGCTGATTCAAGCTGAGTCTGCAAAGATCTCCATCTCCCCAAGGTCATGAAGGCCACAGCCACCCAAACAATAGATCCACAGATGGGAGCTCCCTGTACCTCTCTCTACAACTACTACTATTCCCTTTATCTACAATAAATCTGCACAGCCTGGACCAAAGGCATTTGCAAAGGCAGGTTCACAGCCAGTATCTGAAATGTCGCAGTGATAAGGAGCACTGACACTACTCTACTGAGAAGTCACTACGGCTTGCTCTGGGGACCAGGATGTTTCAAGAACTCCTGCTTTGCTCCCAGCCTCACACCAAGGTCCCACTCTACGGGGTTAAGATAAAACAACACTGCCTCTTTTCTTCTTAGGATTTGGGATCCTATAATCAGGTTAACGCTTACTACTGTCAATGTTGACAACAGACATGGGTAGATAGGACAGACACTTTTCTTTTGCCAATCTTTCCTATCACCTTGTCCTTAATGTTAATGATCATAGCTACACTCAGCAGGTAGAAAGCATTTGCCACACAGGCCTAAGGAGCTGAGCTTGAGCTCAGAGCAGAGTGGCAGGAGAGAAACAACTGCTCAGAGTTATCCTCTGATCTCCACACAGGCACCACGGCACACAAATGCTATCCATGTGTCCTCGCTCACTCAATTCTAATAACAGTTGCCGGGTATAGTGGCACACACCTTTAATCCCAGCACTTGGGAGACATAGGCAAGAAGATCTCTGTGAGTTTGAGGCCAGCCTGGTCTACTGGATAGTTAAGTTCCAGGACAGCCAAGGCTATATAGTGAGATGCCATCTCAAAAAAACAAAAAAAAAAAAAAATAGAATTTTTTTTTTTTCTTCTAAAGAATGACCTTCACATGTTCATTATCATCACAGAGTAGGCTAAAGGCATGAAGAAAAACTGTGCCCTTCCTGGAACCTTAATTTCAGATGTTTTTCAGGTAAGAAAACTTGCCTCCTACTCCGAGAAAGTGGGGAAGAGAGAGAGGACAGACAGCTAGACTGTGTAGCTAGCCCAGTTACTGAGCCATCTTACCTGGAAAGGATAGTGTTTGATAGTCAGGTACTCGGCCAGAATATCCAACATTCTCACCATCTGAGAGAAGATCAGGACTCTGTTTCCCCTTTCTCGGAGTCTTGTCAACAATTTGTCTAACAGAATCAGCTTCCCACTGCTCCTGATTAGAGACTGAAGATTCAGAAGACATCTCAATCATTAAATCAAACACACCATTGCGGAAATGGTCTTTAAACATGGTATCCACAGTACTATACTTCCTGCATTCTACTTAAGGTTCCTCGTCATTTTTGTGTGTCTGGAGACAAGGTCTCACTATGTAGCCCAAGTGAACCCTGAGTAAGCTGGCCTCACCCTAAGACCCTTCTGCCTCCACCACATCCCCCTCAAGTCCGCACCAGTACTCATGTCTGGCTTGTCTCATGCTTTTGAAAGCTTCCGCTGATGCCCCTTGAAGGGTAATCAAGGAAGAGAAGGAGCACTTTGACTACAACAGAAATCTAAGCAAGCCTGCATCACTCTGGAGAAGGCAGTAAGAAGCATGAGGAGCCGCGCACCTGAAGGACCTCCTGGCCGTTCTCCCTTTCATTTTCCTCTGGAGCTTTGATCAGGTAGCAGTGATTGCAGCATTTTTTCAGCTCCATCACAATATTAAGAAAGCCAGATGTGCTGCCCCTTGTTCCTTTGGCGAGAGCCTTGTAATTCCTGGTCAAGATCCATCTGCAAATTGAAAACATTAGTTCAAATATGCAGAGTTTATGGTACCATAAGAAATAAAAGCTAAAAGACAGAGAGACTTTTACTTTCTCTCTACCACCTAATCGTGATCATTCACATCTCCATGCCGAAGTAAACAGTTCAATGATCCTACTGGGTATGTCAACCTCACTGATCACAGAACACTAAAGGAAGACAATTGTGGAAGGTTACACAGACACTCGCACATACACATATCTGTACATGTTTGTGTGTGTGTGTGTGTATACTTTTTTTTAATTAGCTTACAAATTAGTGGGCTTCCATATGGCTTCTTTATATATCCTTAGTTCTGACTATCCCATCCGTGTATCTTATTTCTCAATTCCTCTATGCTCTGTGGATATTATGAAACTGTTAAGGAATCATTAACTACTTTTAGGTAGGATAACAGGACAAATTTTTGAAGAATAAGAAGTCTTTCTCTTTTAGAGACACACACTAAGACAGGAGTAGAAGAAAAGATATGGGTAAACTAACTAATGGCCATGAGTTAATAACCACAGAAGCTAGATTATGAGCAGATGAGTAAATACCATACTATTTTTGCTTATATTTCAAACTCCCTATAATAATATCTCTAAAAGTCAAATGGGGGCGTAGGGCCACCTACAGGTCAGCAATAAGTGTCTGTCCAGCACATGTGACGCCGAGTTTGATCTTCCAGAAACATGCAAATATATATATATATAAGTGAATCAAATATATATATATATAAGTGAATCATATTTATGAAACTTAAATGTGAAAGTTCGTAACAAGTACATTTTATGCTGCCATATGCTGGACTCACTGTTCTTGAATTTCTGTACAAAACAGTGAGCCAAAAACGTGGCTTTCCTGTGCTGCTTGGAATGCTAGAAAGGAAGGAGTGCTCACTTTGTACTATGGTGAGTGCTACCTCTACTGAACTTTCAATGAGATTGTGCTGCAATGACCTGTTTCTAGGATACACCAAGGCTCCAGAAGGGACATGTTTCATTCACCTTCATCCTTCCCAAATAGCTAGAAGAGTGCCTAGTATTAAAAACTTCATAGGAGAGTTACTGAATGATAAACAAACATTGTCTAGCTTAACCAACACCTGCTTAGTATAGGACGATTAGCACTAAAAATTAGGGGCTGGAGAGCTGATTTGGTAGTCAGGAGCACTTGCTGATCTTGCAGAGGACCTGGGTTTAGGGCCCAGGACCCACTTGGTGGTTCCTAACCATCCTTAACTCCAGTTCCAGGAGATCTGACACCCTCTTCTAATCTCTGCAGGCAATAGGAATGCATGTGGCACATATACATACATGCAGGCAAACACTCATATACAGGCAACATAAAATAAATAAATCCCTCCCCCAAAATGTTTTGATTGACAAACTCCGGGTCATTTATGTAAGAGAAAGTACTGTGTAAATTCTCACTTATGCAAATAAAAACAACTTCCCCTTTTTTTCTAATTGATTATGAATTTCAACTTAATTCTGTGTTGAGTCAACAAACAAAGCTCAGTTGTTATCTAGCCAGCCCAAGGCTGAAGTCCAATTCCTACTGCTCTAAGAAAGCAAAGCTTAGGGCTAGGTCTGGTTCCAGTATTCTGAAGGCAGGTGGAACTCTTGAGTTCAAGGCCAGGTAGAGTTACATAGAGATGCCCTGCCTCAAAAAATAAAATAAAAAAATAGAAAACTTTACTCTTGAGCACTTGCCAAGATCTGCAAGGTTCTAGGCTTAATTAAAAAAAAAAAAAAAAAGACAAAAACAAACAAAAAAACCAAACTATGTTCATAGTTTACTTTTTCAAAGGCACAGATTACTTATTAATTATTTACCTCATGGCAGGAACTTACTTATAATACTGTTTCTGAAGGGCTGACATCTCCACCCTGAGAATCTGTTCCACTTTGGCAGGAAGGGATTTCTCCACATCTTTTTTGACTCTCCGAAGAAGGAAAGGCTCTAGTACCTTATGAAGACTCTGATAACCATTCTCTCTCCCCTTTCCATGGTCTTCTTCAAAATCTTCCCAGAACTCAAACCTATAGATGAAATTGTCACCATTAGTTACCCATTTTCACAACAAAATAACTGAACTAGGGGTGGGGTGGCTTTGAGGGGATTAAAAACAACAACAACTTTCAATCCCTCCTGCAAGGAAAGGCAAAACTTGTCCATCCCTGAATCTTCAGTAAAAGAGAAGGGAATGAGTACAATGTAAGTCTAAAATTTCACAAAGGGACCAGGTAGCTCCACAGGTGGACACCCTGACAAGAGAAAGGGGGCTGAGCACAGTCACTGTCTGTCCTTTTGATGCAGTGTGATCAGCTGCTTCATGCTGCAGCCACCACGGCTTCTCTGCCACGATGGGCTGAGTACTAGAATTGTATGGGGAACTGGGTAAAGTAGCTGATACGGCCACTACTGACTGTGATCTCCAGGGAAGGACAGGGGGACCAGTGAGCTGACGGGACAAAGAACGGCAATGAGAAAGGACACACAGGCAGCAAATAATGCAAAGCTAGCAGCCAGGGCTCGAAATCGTGCTGCCCCGTCAATGGTGACCCCCTTGTTCCCCAAGGGAGACACCGGTAACGTCTGCAGACATTTTTAGTTGTGACAACTGCCTGATGGGGGAGGAAGCCAAGAATGGTGCTCGATTTCCCACAAGGAAAATGACACAAGGCAGCTGGGGTGGGGGTGGGGGTGTCCAAGCCAACCCAAAGATGAAGCCCAGCACTATGAGACAGCCCTGTATGCAGGGGTGCAGAGAAACTCTCCTCCCAGACAGATACTGTGGTGAGGAAGGGAGAGAGAGAGCAGGAGGGAAGAAAGGAGAGAGTAAAACGGGAGGGAAGAGAAGAGGGGAAAGGCAGGGGAAGGGAAGAAAGAGAAGGGAGGAGGGTCAGCCCGACTGCGACCTGCTCAGGTAACCACTGTAGCGAAGCTAGCTCAGCCACAATGGTTTCGTGTCTCAATCCATCATCAGAAGATCGTAAACATTCTCACAATAAACATGTTTTTAAAAGACCAGCAGTAAATAAAGACAAGAAATGTGCCGCCTATAGGTCTGCCTTACAAGAAACACTAAAGTTAGCCCTCTGAGCTAAAAGAAAACCCTCCACAGAAACCTCAATCCACAGGAAGAAATAAAGATCACCTGGAGATGATAAAATACATGTTATCTTTCTCTTTTCAATGTTTCCTTAAAAAATAATAATTCTCCTGTTGTATTCTTGAGTTTATAACATAATGAGAATTTAAAGTAGAGCCACTGTGGAACAAAGTTGTTATACTTTTTAAGAATTAAGTTGGCATTAACCTGAAGATTAGGCTAAAATACTAAATCCCTAGAGAGTCCAAGAATAAGTAATTTTAAAATAGTAACATTAACAAAGAGAGGAATGAAATAGTACACTAAGAATATAAATACTAAGCAAGGCAGTAAGGGAGAAATGGGAAGAGACATGAAACATGAAAACAAGGAGTCAAATGGCAGGAATGGGTTCAACCTTATCTTTATTCGTGTCCAAGAACTGCCTCAACCGAATCAAAACGTCAAAAAACAGAGACCTGTATGGAATGTTCGCTTCCACCAATTCTATTCGACACGGACATTCTACAGTATATTAAGTAAGGCAAGATATAAAAAGCACTCACATAAGAAAGACACTTAAAAATCTGTACCTGCAGAAATATGGTCCCCCAATTAAAAATACAAAGAAAACTGGTAACACAAAAAAGTTATAGGGGCAAATTTATGAATATCAGATGAATATGTAACACTCAAACATAGCTCTACATTCAACTGTAGCTCTACATCCTAAGTATGGCTCTAGAATCTCACCCCAGCTCTGTACTCAACCAGAGCTGTAGATAGTGGTTCTCAACCTTCCTTTAATACAGCTCCTTATGCTGTGGTGACCCCCAACCATAAAATCATTTTGGTTACTACTTCGTAACTGTAATTTTGCTGTTATGAATCATAATGTAAATAGTTGTATTTTTAATGTAAATAGCTACTTCATAACTATAATTTTGCTATGGTTGCAAATCATAATGTAAATAGGTTTTTAATGTAAATACCTGTGTTTTCTGATGGTCTTAGGCAACCCTTCGAAGGGTCATTCAACCTCTAAAGGCTCTTGACCCAGTTTGAAAACCACTGCTTTCGTCTCTGTAGCTCTAGACTCTAACTGCAGTTCTCTCTAAGTGTAGCTCTAGACTCTAGTACAGAATAAAAATGAGATGACGAGAACAGGGTAAGAGGACTCAGGATGTACGGTGAGCTCAGCAGAGAACACTGACCTACCCAACAGCAAAAGGGCTTCATCCCCAGCATCTTACCGAAACAACTAAACATCCTAAAATGTAATCAAAATTTTAAAAAGTAAATTCAACAGAAGAAGCTTAAGACTGTAACAATGAACCTACTAAACACTACTGAGAAAAACTACACAGCTAAATAAATAGAGAAAACCTTCTTTGGCCATGGATTAGAAGGCTCCGTTATTATTGATTAATAACAATCCCTTAACTGATATGTAAGATTCAATGCAATCCCAACAAAATTGCAGTAGGCTCTTCCCCCAGAAACTGATGAGCTGATCCTGAAACAGGAATGCAAAGCCTTTACAAGTAGACAGAATGTTCTGAGAAAGAATGAAACCGATCCTTACACTTCTCCATGTTAAAAACTAATCGGAAGTAGACACTCAAGACAACTGTGTAGACATACGGAAGTAAGTCTTCACTGTGCAGGACTGACAGACCAGAAGCAAATCCTTTCTGTCTCCACTAAGATTTCAACAGAAGATGCTGTCTTCAACAATGATGCTGGAACAACTGTCCGAATTCCTCAGTGAAGAAAAATGAATCAAGATCTTCACACTTCATATACTAAATGCCTCAAAATAAAATAGACACCTAATGTGACAGCTAAAATTTCTAGAACAAAAATGTTGTCATGGCCCGTGGCTAGGCCTATCTGTTTTAGACATGCCACACAAAAAATAATTTGATAATGCCAGGCGGTGGTGGTGCAAGCCTTTAATCCCAGTACTTGGGAGGCAGAGCCAGGTGGATCTCTGTGAGTTCGAGGCTAGCCTAGTCTACAGAGCGAGATCCAGGACAGGTAACAAAACAACACAGAGAAACCCTGTCTCAGGGGTGGGGGGGAGACACAGGACACTTGATAAATTATAGTTGTAAATTAAAATTTGGCTCTTCAAAAGATAATATGAAAATAAAAGAAAAGCCAATCATACACTTTATTTATACAAAAGTGCTTTATTGAGAGCACTTGTATTCAGAGTGTTTTTAAAGAAATAAATTGTTCAACCCATATATTGACAATTCAAGTTTTAAAAGCTGAAGCAATGCTTTTCAAATTCTATTTATCTTTATTTTATGTTTATAAGTGTTTGCCAGCATGTATGTTAATGCACCAAGTACATGCATTGCCTGCAGAGGCTAAAAGAGGATTTCAGATTTCCTAGAACTAGAGTTACAGACAGTTGTGAGCCACCACAGAGTGTTTAGGAAATGAACCCAGATCCTCGCAAAAGCAAGTGCTCTTAACCACTGAGCCAGCTCACTAGCTTGAATCTAATTTTCTTAACAGGAAAAGATCTGAATAAATATTTCACTAAAGAAGCCCAAAAGGTCAAAGACAAAATGAGAAGATGCTCAACACCCTTAGTCATTATACAGACAAGCACATTACAAAACATTTACCTGTCAAAAGATTACACATTAGTAGTTAAACTGCTTACTGTGTGTCAGTTGCTGTTCCAGGTAATGGGAACCAATGGTGAGTAACAACCGAGACCCCTAGTCTTCTCACATGCCTAATTTAGTGCTAGGAGACACAGAGGTGCTATGCAGCAAAGCAAACAGGGAGGGAGGAGAGGAGAGGAGAGGAGGTGGCTGCCATGTAAAAATAAGGAGGAGCGTTCCAGACAAGACAGAGTAGGAATGGAACAGATGTGGAAGGGACAGAAAGACGGCCAGGACAACTGATACATGATGAGTCATGGACAAATGGTAGAGTCAGCATGAGCCAGGATCCAGCTCAGTACAGTCTTCCACACTAGAGAAAGGAATTCAGATTTCATCTAAGCTGTCACTGAGAACCACCAGATCATTTTATGACTGTGGAATGAATATATACACTATGTATCTAACCTATACAATTTATCTAGTAGAGATAAGCCAAAGTTCTGTAAGAAGCAAGCTGATCTGAATAAGAAGTAAAACTGATGTTTCTACTAGCAAAGACTGTGTTTAAGGCATGTCAGCCTATACTTCACTCATGTCACTGAGGTTTGGTTTTGTTTTATGTTTTTTGAGGCAGAGTTACATGGAGCTTAGAGTAGCCTTAAACTTACTATGTAGCTGGCATTGGATTCCTAATCCTCCTGCCTCAACCTCTCAAGTGCTGGGATTGGTTCTAAGAAGCATCTCTACCCCACCTTACTCTCATATGTCTTAATAATTATTCCCAAAATGCTTTAACTAATTCAAACCTTTGGTAGGCAATTATATTCTCCTCCTCAATCGGCTAACTTCTTTAGTTTCTATCACTCTATTATGCAAGACTTTAATACAGTTGCTTCTGTCATGAGTGAATATCTTGCCTTCCCCACGCCATCAGTTTTGCTAAGTCTATTAAGAACATCAAAAAGTTGCCAGACATGGTGGTGCAGACTTTAATGACAGAACGTGGGAGACAGAGGCAAGCAGATCTCTTATGATACAGATGCCAGCCTGGTCTACATAGTTAGTTCCAAGCTAGCCAGAATACATGAGACCCTTTCTCAAAAATACAAAAAAAGGGGGAAATATTTGCATATCAGACATTCTAGCACCTTTTGAAACAAAGAGGAAGGAGCTTACTTCTCCGGCATAATAAAGTGCAGCAAAGACCAAAGTTCCTTGAGGGAATTCTGAAGAGGGGTGCCCGTGATCAGTAGCCTGTGGCTGGACTTGAAATCAATCAGAGTTTTATACAATAAAGAGTCATCATTCTTCAACCGATGGGCTTCATCTACTCCCAGGAAGGCCCAGTTAATACTGCCCAGCACGGTCTAAAGTGAAAAACAAACAGAATGAGCCACCAGGTCAGAAGAGGACCCACAGTGCTTGCACATTAAATCATTTCTGAATACAAACCATCACAAAGATACACAGGTAGACATATTTATTCTTCACCAATTTAATATATATTAGGCTTCTTTGCTTGATCTATCAATGGCCAGATTCAAGAGTACCTCATCATCTAAACTAAGTGAATCTCTCATACAAGCCACTACTGCAAGCTCTGCAAGAGGAGGAAAACTGCTATGCTGAACAAAAACTGAAAGAAAACTTTATGGGATTCTGTCTTTGCAAGATGTTTTTCTTGCTTATTTGCCACCCCAACCTTGAGACACAGGAAACACAAAACCACCACACTGAATAGCAAAGCACTTATCACTTAGGAACTTTAGAAAAAGCTCTCCAGTAGTGCACTGTACTAGACTTCAGTGCAGTCAATACCCTTTCCTCCTGCCTCCTGCTCAACTCAACTGGACTAAGGCAACCTGAGCTCCCAGTCAACTGTGAGGGTTGTCTGCTACTTACAATTGTATATTGAGGAATATTTTAAGTTTGTTTGCTTGGCTTTTTAGACAAAGCAAGAATTACATGACAAGGAGGAAGCACAGTCCCCACTACTGAAATAGGATACACATGGACAAGACTTAACTTTTTATTACCAATTACACACCTTATCTTTTAAGAGGATCTCATACGTTGTTATAAGTGCATTGAACTTCAACCTTTTAGTTTGAGAATGAATCCACTCATATTCCCTTATCTATAAGAAGAAAAAAATAGTAATTAAGACACAATATCTACTTGCAAATTTTGTCACAAGTCTTTTAATAGATGCAATAAAACTGACAAAAAAAAGTCTCACAAGAATTGAATGAACAGCCTATGCACTCTAAAGAGACTTAACACAAGCACAGAACACTGAGTCAGAATCAAAAGCAGGAAAAACTTTATTGTCATTGCAAATGAACCAACCCTCCTGCAAAGATTTGATGAGTGTGCAGCATTTACCAGCAATTAAAACTCCAGGAACTGGCCAGGTATGGTGTGACATGCTTTTAATCCAAACACTTAACAGTCTGTAGAGACAGACGGATCTCTGTGAGATCAAGACCAACCTGGTCTACAAAGTGAGTTCCAGTACAGCCAGGGCTGTTACACTGAGAAACCTTGTCTCGAGAAAAACCAAATGAACAAAAAAAAATTGGGGGACTTGAACTAAATAAAGGGTTTCCCAGCCCCTTAAATTGTTCTTAAGGAAATGAAATTACCATTATTCTTTGCATATGGTAATATTTATTAAGAAGTAACAAATTATAATCAGTAGATTGGCCAGAAATTTCATTAATCATAATCAACAGATATATCCTCCAAGAAAAGGGATTTTTTTTTTTAATTTTATATACATTGATGTTTTGCCATAGGTGACAGGTCCCTTGGAACTGAAATTACAGGGAGTTGAGAGCTGCCATGTGAGTGCTGAGAATTGAACCCAGATCCTCTGGAAGAGAAGTCAATACTCTTCTTTTTTTTCCTTTTCTTTTCTTTTTTTTTTTTTTATTTTACAATACTATTCAGTTCTACATAATAGCCACAG